TGCAATTAACATACATTAAAATGACAGTGAGTTAATAGGAATGACGAATAACCATGTAATTCCTGTATCGGTATTCGGAATCAACAAGTTAAAAGCTGTTTTTCCAATTTATTCTATTTATCTGCTGTAATTACCACTCAAAACACGATGATAACTAAGATTTTCAATTAATAAATCACGAATTAGACAGGTTGATGATAAGATATAGAAATATTTGTAATTTTTCAGATTTAAAAGTGTAAAGTCATTCCAAATATTCAAAAGGGAGGAATACTGAGAGTCGACTCAAGCGCACGTGGGTAGTTGTTTCAAAATTAAACGAGTCATAAAATATAGAAAATAGGCTAACAGATATTTTAGCCTTAAAATCAGCCGACGCAGCCCATTTGATACAACTTGGCCGATTTACTTCATGCTACGTTTCCTGCATCTTGGCATACGAGCAACTTTACACAGTCAATTTATTTCCAGATTGTAGGTTCAATGATCTTGCAAATACTTTTAAATTGCAAACAAACAGCTAAAATCTCGAGCTGGTGTAATCAAAACAGTTGTTTAATGCAAAAAGCGTACCTACACAACTAACTATCAAAGATTCAAGTATAAATAAAATTGGTTGAATCGGAGTCGACGTGGCGCTGACGTGTCGAATCCCATTCCCAATTGACGGTTTCGTGGGAATTGCTTTTGTATTTTTCATCGAGATTCGAGAACTGTTTTCCATAAATACGAATGGTTCTCAAACGTTTTCAGAAAAATCTGTTTTCAGCAGTTTTTTCATTGGTTTTTTCACGAGTATTCCATGATCAATCATGGAATCATATTTTAAAATCTCTTACTTTTCTAATTTAAATAAGTAATCCATTCAAATAATATGTATCTTTAAATGGACAGACAGCTACTGCTGTACTGAAAGATTGAATTGATTGAACTGCAATTTTCATCGTTGTCACCCCAAGAAATTTTTCATTGACAAAATATTCTGCTAAATGTGTTATCGGTGCCTACTGGTGCCTTTCAGACCTCATTGAGAACCATTGGACCCGTTCAATTATAAAATTGTCGCGTTCCAGATAACGTAGACTGCGATGCCCTCGCGAGTAGGGTTGCCAGGTGTCCGGCTTTAGCCGGACATGTTTGGCTTTTTACGGTCGTGTCCGGCCAAATATTGTGTTGTCCGGCTTGTCCGGCTTTAGTTAGGCTTTTTATTTGGTTGCGAAAGTCGAGCCACAGAATAATATGAAGCGCACGCATCAGGATGTTGGTTGTTGGTTAGCAACCGATGATGATAGTACTCACTCATGGTGGTAAGGTTTTTAGGGTAAAATGTCCGGCCAAATGAAACACAGAGTCCGGCTTTTGTGATTTTGGACTTGGCAACCCTACTCGCGAGTCGCAGATCATTGATCTACTTGCTGTGAATCAGGCGCTCTATTGAGTCTATATTTATCTAACTTGCAAATTACAGGATAATGGATTACAGACGACAGCGCATGGATAAGTTGGCACACTTTTGATGCGAAATCGTAACTATTATATGGGTATAGAAGAAAATTTTACGACCTATTACATGCAATAATTTAATGGAAGGTAAAATCAGGGAAACTGATAACTTACAAGATAAAGATAAACCCTAAAGTTTCCTTATGTGTCGTATTTTTTATTTTAAGATTTTTTGTAATATTTATGAGGACTGTTGTATGGAGAGCGGGGTTTTCTAACACAAGTATCTATTTTTACTTAAAAGAAAACCCCAAGCGAGACCCTGTTATAACTTCAAACCTGATAATTTTTAAATGGTTTGTAAAGTTACAAATAAATATTATTTAAGTTCCTGATGCTCCGTACGTAAATATGAGTAGCTTAATTTGACTCGCGTTGAAACTCAGGAACATGTTGATTTCTTATTATAGCGTTTTCATAACAAATAAAATTAGTAGCAGCACAGCTGCGAGTGTTTACGTGTATGCAAGTTAATGCACAATGTAATATACATATATTTTATTAATATTCTGAACTCTACATGCCCGCTGTAATCAATTCAACACGTTTGCGATGAATATTTCAAGCATTTTATCCGGTTCTCTTCGATACAGTACGATTTGGAATTCGAAACATTTGGAATTCTAATCTTAACCGACAGCTATACAGGGTGTTAGGTAAATGGGTATATGAGCCGACACTAGCCCATGTTAACATATGCATATAAATGGTATGGTGAAGTCAGAAATTTGATATCATCATTTCAATTTTTTAAATGTTCATACAAAATAAAATTTATAAAATCAGGGCTAGTGTCGGCTCATATACCCATTTACCTAGCACCCTGTATGTGGGGTGGTGGTGATTACTACCATACAAGAATCATGAAATACAAGTAAAAAATGTCAGAGCAAATGAAAGGTATTTATAAAAGGTACAACATATGCAAGTGAAAGGATCTATAAAAAGAAAACCGGTTTGCCAAAAATTGCACTCAAGAATGTATTTAAATGCATCACGTAGTGGATTTCCCTGCACACGTATAGCAAAAGAACTAACATTATCGGTAAGAGAAGTAATGTTATACGAGAGTACACAATTTCTCGACGATGTATTCATAATTTAATAATGACGATACGACCTTGCTCAAAAGATCCTTTTGTCATTCGTATTTTTATTTGAAGGCCTTGGGGTTGTCTGAATTCGGTATTATACCTATACCGAGCTTATTTCTTATTATAAATTCCATATCTCGAGCTAAATACATAATACATCAATCCAACTGCGTAGTGCCCGCGAGACGCAAAAGATACCGTGACCGGCTTCAGAACGACCTAAGCGACATTATTTACTGAATGGCTGACTAGGTCACTGTGTATACAACCAGCATATTAGCTTAGTATACATCCTTAAGTCGTTGGTCTTAAGGGTGAAACTAGTAGTAAATATTATGGTTGATTGTATACTGTAGTACTGTACCTACTGAATTGCTTCTCAAGCGAAGTTAATTAAGTTGAAGATCGATGTTATGGGATATTGATTGGAGTGAGATGAATGAGCAATGTAATTAATTAGTAATCGACTTGTAATTACTGAAAACTATTTTACACCTAAATTAAGTAGAAAATTATACACATTCGTTTCGAATTAGAGGTGACTCTTAAGATCTTAAAATGTAGAGATCTTTTGTTTTTAGAGACGCAAACTTGCACACCATAGGATCTGTTAAAAAGATAATGATGATATAATAATAATGGACCCGTTTGTTGGCTACAAAACTGAAAACCGTCATTAGAGTTATTTTTAGATTTGACCTTCCTTATTTTCGGTTTGATGCTAGCTTAGACCGACACGTTGACGGTTCAAGGAAAATAAATCTTAGAGTACTAAGCAGAATACGTTTCAATTTAAGCTTAGGTATATTTTTGAAATGTGCAAATTATAATTCACACAAGACCGGCGTCAACTAACCTCCTTGCACGACACCTCTCCCTGTCAAAACTAAGATTTATTTACTGCAATGCAAAGACAACTAACACTGAATTTATTACCAGTCATTCGATATCCTACTACAGCAAGACAAGAATATTTGCTCATATTTTGAGGAGCTAACATTGTCGAAAGCTTATCTTTCTTCTCAAGGGCGCACATTCGATACAAGATACATATTCGGGGTCAAAAAGGAATCCGACACGCTCGCTCTGAAATGTCTCCAAACGTTTGTTCATCATGCTCCAGCGGGACATCGATTTCCCCAGTGAACACTGGCACACTGCCAACTGCGGTTCGATTGTTGCCTGAAACTGGCCGCGCGCCAACTATTACGGCAGCTGATTGTCGGTTATTTCACATTTTGCTAAGAGCCGCCTGTACTACACGCATCACGATAAGATTGATTCGATACAGGTCTTTGACATCGAGTTATTTTTTGCCGAGTTAGACTTCGCGTTTGGATGCCAAGGATCGGATTGAGGTTCACTTGTTTTATGTAAACTAAGAACAAGGTATTTTCAACATTTGCATTACCACGATTAATGCAAGTTTTGCTGAAATGAATGATTAACTGTTTTTCCTTTTATTGTTCTTTTACTGTCTGCGTGCTTCAGTAATATCGTGAAGACGTTATTGTAAATTGCTCCTGCGGGCACTAAGTAGCGTGTTTCAGCGGATCGATCAGTAGGTATTAGTGTAATCGCATTTAGATGTCTGGCAAACGATAGTTGTCAACGAAGAGTAATTAGAAAGTTTATTATTTAATTTATTGGTTATTTTTAATGGGAATACAAAGGTTTTAAATGGCTCAAAGCAAACAACGGTGTATTCTGGCATTTTGCCGGTATCGACTCTACATTTGGATCTGCGTGCATGTTTCATTTCTGGGGCAAAAAGAAACCTTGAAATATTAGCAAGTCTTTCACGCAAAAATACACCATGTGCTCCAAAACTAATTAACTATAGCATAAGTGGCCGTGTATGAGACTGCGCTAACAATGGATTTCTATTGGGACTTGTTTTGCTGATATTTGCGGCCTCGCGTGAGACCACGCTAGCTATCTATGTAAAATATATCTCGTTCTGCTGGTACAACCAAGCACTAGGATATCAAAATATCTAGAACAAGGCTTCCCAAAGTTTTTACAATGCGCTTGGGAATTTTCCATTTTTTGCGACGCCTTACCGCAATTTGGAAATTGAAAGAAAAGAAAGAAATTGCCATTCTCATCTCTTTCTCTACATTTATTTTCGATCGCCCCACATTGCGACGCCCTTGAGATGATGCCGCGACGTTCCAGGGCGTCGTGACGCATACTTTGGGAAGCCCTGTCCTTGGATAAATTGTTCGAAAGGAGCATCTATTACAACTGAGTAAGATCCCGCAACGTTCAGCTTGACATGCTAACATCCATTGGCGTATCTAGGGTTCTTTTTATGCCATGTCACTAGTGGCATGGCGATTAGTACTATCAACAAATCTTCAAATCAGTCCAAGATCCTGGTCGTCTAACACGTAGACTCACCTAAGCTGAGCGCAGTAGAACTGATGCGGGATGGCGGTCAACACGCCGGCACCGTCGCCGGTGTCGTTGTCGCACGCGCACGCGCCGCGGTGCTCCATGCGCTTCGCGAGGACCTCGGCATCGCGGACGATCTGGAACACAGCTGGCGTTAGATGATGATGATGCAATGATCAGCTAATATTTTAAACAACTGCTGATGACATACGCGTATTTAAGGGGAGGGGGGGCTGCGTGGTCTAAATGGTCTATGGATGCTGGGTTACCGATTCGATTCATAATACTCACTGTCATAACTGACTCATGAGCTAATTAATGCTACTAATGTTAAACCTGTATCCATCAGATACGGAATATCAGGAGCCATGCCCCCGCCCCCTTGAAAAATAACACTAGCTAGATACGCAAATAGCTGATGATAATAATAGCCTTAATAGATCTTTCGCACGATTGCTGATGAAAACTAACATTGAAAATCATTCTAGGTTGATTGATTATAGTGGAGTCTGCAGAATTAGACACTTTTTGACAATTTACACTAAAACTCTCAAATAGCAATTTTTCTTCCAGGGGTTGCTGTCCAAAATACGATGATTATTGTGATTATCACATAAAAATGTTCTTTGATCATTGTAAGTTATCGACTTGGAGAAGCGGTTCAAGGGGACTGCAGTATCTTGAAGAATCTTGGCTCAAGGAAATGCAGACTGTTCCAAATGAGCAAACATGTGCCAAATTCTGGAAGCCTTCAACTTTAAATCAAATCATGTTGGTAACTTGCTGAAGCTGTAGCAAATAAGTATCAGTACAAATGAATGGCAATTTATTTTATAAATATCGGCGAAGATGGAGAGAACGTAGCGAAGAAATTAAAAAGCGAAACAAAACCAAAAAATGCTCCAGAAATTGAAATTGCCTCGTGCCGTGTTTAATTTGAAAAATATTGTGAATGGAATTGGATTTTTTTTTCGTGACTACAAAAGTTCGCGACTTTACTTATTATAGGAGAAAGCAGTGATTCAAATACTATTTACTAAAGACATTTAACTGGAAATATTGTAATGCGCAGAACTCGCTAGGCGTATTTCTATTTACTTTTAGCTATTGTTAGTTAAATACGATCTGGTGAAGGTAGTAGGAAGTAGCTGGATGCGAGCAGCGCAGGACGGGTCTTTGTGGAAATCCTTAGGGGAGGCCTTTGTCCAGCAGTGGACGTCATTTGGCTGAAACGAACGAAATGTTAACGTCAAGAATACTCACTTTATGAGAACGTTTCCCGTCGATAGCAACCACAAAACCAACTCCACAGGCCTCGTGCTCGTTCTGAGGGTCGTACAAGCCTTGCTTGGGCGGCCCTTCCCACTCCATACCTGGGGAAGGATGTCATGGGTAACTATGGGAATCACACAGATACAGCGTCAATAAATTCGCTAGTGGACTGAATTCGTCATAAGAAAGACAGCGAGACAGTCTTCTAACAGTTCCAATACTGATCATTGAAATGGGCTAAAACCAGCATTTATGAGCATTTTAGGTGCAAAATCTCATTTATTCAAATTGCTGCAGTAGGTATCTAGCTTGTTCCGTCGTTTATTAGTCTGAAGAGCTGGCAATTTGTCACTAATTCGATGTCATGTCATGTCAATTAGGGCAACATAAATGGTCTAAAATGGATACTATTATTTTAAATGCGAAAGTAACTGTCTGTCTGTGTCGCTTTCACGTCTAAAACACTGAACCGATTTTGATGAAATTTGGCATAGTTTCAGTCCCGGGAAAGGATATAGGACAGTTTTTATACCGGTTTTCTAAACAGGGACGCGCGTTAGGTTTTCTGTGACAGACAAAATTTCACGCGGGCGAAGCCGCGGGCGGAAAGCTAGCACTCTTATAAAATTGAATCAATATCAGAGGTATTCATAAGAGTTGCGCAATATTCTGAGTAGGTACTGATTACCTAATATTGACCCAATACAAGGGCACTGCAGCAAGGGCACGTCTACCCATCACATAATCTTGTAACTTGTAACTAATTATAGGACCCACTCAAGATTTTCATTAAAATTAATGACCAAACGGTGATAAATAATTAGGTATTTTAGATACAAGGCCATGCTCACAGAGACTACTACCTTGCCCTACAAATAACATTATTGTGTTATCAGAGTTCAGTGACACATCGTGATCACTCTGGTTTCGGTGATAACTTGCTTTGCAAACGTTGCGTTGATGTTTAAATAAAACCAGATATAGTCAGTTTAGATTTGATAACATGGTGTTTTGATTGAATGACAGCAACTGTACTTACCTACTGTTTATAATGTTCTTATTATTATTTTTTTTATTAAAATTAATTCAGAAATTGCCCACATCATACAAATTTACTTGTATCCTGGTGGTATATTAGATAAATTCGGTCAATAAAATAATTAATTACCTACTGAATGTGATAATCACGCACTAGCATTTCCTTTTTAATAGGTACTTCAAACCAATATACATTCTTGTAGCAAAGTCAAGTGTTTAGTTTGAGACATGCCATTTTGTGTATTACAGTTTTATGGAGGGAAAATTTATACGCTTAGCTAAAAGATAGTCACAAGCACTTAAATCTTATTGTGAGCATAGTCGGTTGACATTGATCGATGTAACGGCAATATTGACACAATGCTATGCGCTATGGAACATTTACGGAATGGTTACACAGACAGACTACTTTTATGTATCTCATTTGCTGAGTATTACGTAAAATTGTTAATAAATGTAAAATAGAATTAAATAAATAATGAAAATTGGGACCATTCTAGCATCTTTTATCGTTAAGACATCAAAGATATGTTTAAAATATTATACTTTTAGAGATGATAAAAGTCTAATTAGATTAGAAAATAGGTATGTTAAATTATTTTTTATCAATTACTTTGTGTTTAGTTTTCAATTAAATTAACTTTATCAAAAAAACTTGTATCATGTCACATAAATGATACCAGTTTCTAACAGAATATTGGGATCCAATGACCTCTGCTGAGAACAAGTTTTTGCTTATGTGCAGTGAATGATAAACATTATGTAAATATTATCATAATGAATTTATATTTAGAACATAGATGTAAGTGAAACAATACTCAGTCCTAGGACATGTGCATTTGTTGCAATTAATACATTGTTAGTAATTAACGGAATAGCTACCTACCTAAATTAGCACATAATATTTATTTTGATTTAGAAGTTGTTGAAAAATAAGCTATTTATAAATACAGACAGAAATAATCTACATAGTTAAAAATATATGATCGTGACTTGTAATTTGCTTGTGGGACTGGGAGATGAATAAGTACTCAGTCCGTGTCTGGTAGTCCCCCTTTTTTCAGCGTCCACGAACATCGAGGTTACAAAAAATAAGAGCTTATATCGGTCGCTCCACGTATGCAATGCACGTGGAGTGCTCAAGTGATCGTGAAAGACGTGGACATCGAGTATCCACTGTGAAGCACTTATTTCATGAATTTAACAAAAAAAAATTCATACCTCAGAATAAGTTCAATAAATTCACAAAATTCTATCAAAAAACAATACTGCGTAAAGTTTACACTTTCACTGAAAATTGCAATCAAAGTACGTAAAAAGTATTTCAAGAATAAATTAAATGGGACACAAAAAACCGGCAACTCGTAGTGACCGCTCTACAGACGACTACGACAACCGGATTTACGCGATTGACTGATTGATTGAAATGAAATGAATGAACTGAAGTTATCCGAATGAAGAATGGTGAATGAATGAAGGTAAAGAGATGACGTTCCGCTGCGGTACGAAATACGCTCACAGAACTCAAGGGTGCGGGAATTTTATTTTAGTTGATATTTTTACTACGAAAATGACTTAGAGAATACATTTTTTCGACTGTAACACTTTTTTTTCTCTATCTACGACTCAATACTCATTGAGTTTGTGATGATTTGATCATTCTCGCCGGTGCATAGAGGTTTTTATCTTTTTACCGAAAGTACTGTGAGCGCGCGTATGTCTCAATCTTAAGAGGTGGATATTTTAGTGCCACAAGCGAAACTTTTAGGTGTGTCATAATGAGCGCTATTAAACGCTTTTAGTACATTACGGACCGCAGCCTAAAAAGTTCAATGATTGAACGAATGACTAAGTAAACTATAAACGCCGGAAGTACGAGTGAATGAACAGATAGTGTTGTATTGAAAACATGCTCATTTGAACATTTCAATTGAACGAATTAAATTACTATATAAATGATTGAATATTTTGTGCGATAATACAAAAAAGTTAATCCTGTGATGTATACTGGTTTAAAATTACATTTCTTCACTTTTGAACTAGTGATCAAAAATAGGAATAGTATAAGATAAGTGAGTGAACAAGTTAAAATTAAAAGATTGACAAAAAAGATTAATTAATTGTTTTATTAATCGAGTATTTGTCAGTTTTTGGAGACTAACTGTGCTTCACCTTCAACGTGCCCGGACGTCAGCTGTTTTGACAAATTCCCCGATTACGCTAATTTATAACGTCTCCAATACAGACGCGCTTTTTTTTTTTTTTTTTTTTTTTGTGGCAATTAAACCTCTCTTGGGNTTGACATAGTTATCAATAGAACGTGGGTGTTTCAGTTCTATTGATTTTTCATGGATTCCGTGGAGTTAAGTATGCCCGTAAGCAGGTTTCGAGAAGCCACCGGGTCCAAAGCGGGTTGTTCATACGACAACCCACTCGACACTCGATGCGCGCTCAACTTCGAAGTATTTCAATGTTTTTTATAATTTATCACTTCACTGCACTTTAGAACACAAAATAACACCAAATTTGTACACTAAAGTCCATTAAATAATAAATTGAAACCATTAAAACAGATCGACCATGCTTCCCGTTCAACTACCCTCCACGGAATCCACAGACGCGCTTTTTCGATTTCTTTGATTCTGCGATACGGATTTGTCAAAACAGCTGACATCCGGGCACGTTGAAGATGAACATTTTTAGTGTAATCGGGGCCTTGAGTACATGTACCGATAATTTATTGTGTTCAAATAACTACTTTGTATTATTTTAATACATTTTATAGGTGCAAATAAAAAAAATCCTTCTTTGAAAATTCAAATAATAAAAAAAATTCAATGTAAAGCGAATCAGTAAAAATTATTCTACGAAAATTCTGCGTAAATGTCACGTCTTATAAGATGTCTCACATCGGCACTTCGTTAGGTCTTCGGTCTCAGTATTAGTCGATGATAAAGGTACGAAAATCATTTGAATTTGTGATTAGATTTCAGATTTCGAGAATATCGTGTTGTTTGTTTGGGGTATGTAGGTATACTTTTGCGAAACTAACATGTATCAAGAATGAAAATCAAATCTTATGGAAGTATGTGTGAATAGTCGTATTTATTGAATGAAGCACAACACTAGTCAAAGTGACATTGACATTAGACAACGGCAAACTGACAGTTCATTTATGTCCCGCGAAATCGGCGGTCGTTCGTAATTTGAATTAATGTAAAGTATTCTGCAAGAGTTAAGTTTTAATTGCATGATTGAAAAATCAAACAAAATTCGTTTGTTTTCGTTTTGCAAGTTGAAGTGTTAAATAAAAGATTGTTGGTGCTAATAAAAGTTTTTTTTTAAAACAAACATAAAGTCGCTTAAAGTTTTGGAAACTTAGAGAAAAGTGTTCAAAATGAGTCTGAGCCGATTAGGTAGTTTTATGAAGTGCGATTTGGCGAGAGTCTCAGCATCGAGCGCGTCGATTTCGAAACTTTGGGGACCTTGTACTAAGGAAGTGAGTACTTGTAGTACGCAGCGCGGGAGCGTTACCCAACATAGTTCTAAGCCCGACTGGAACCGGGCGGTGAGCGAGGCGGAAAAGATTGTGGGGTATCCGACGTCGTTCCTGAGCCTTCGATGGGTGCTGAGCGACGAGATCGCTAATGTGGCTCTCCATCTGAGGAAGCTGGTTGGGAGTAACCATCCACTGTTGAAGACTGCGAAGTAAGTTCCTCCCACTTACTACTATTTTACAGAGTTACAGTAGAATCCCGATTATCCGGATCAATTAAAACAAGGGGTGTTCCGGATAATCGATGGTAGGGCAAAAAAAAGAATGAGACATGTATAGGCTCCTTAAGAGCATTTGACGATTTGCAAGCACTAATTTAATTAGTCTAAACAAATAAAGATAATTTTGATTTTGATTTTGATTTTGAATCGAAAATCCGGATAATCGATTTCAAAGTAAAATCAAATAATAATGAACTTTTTTCAATAGAAAGGGTTTTCAAAACATCATTTTACAGTCTAAAAATCTAAATTTTAGACCATTGGATGAATCCATTTCTTTTAATAATGAACTAAGACGACGTCCGTACCATATTACGGTGGCGGCGCCTTCCGTTTTTTGGGTCCAGACCCTAAATCGGTAATTAGAAACCGTGAAAAATGAGTCCGGATAATCGGATATCCGGATAATCGAAGTCTGGATAATCGAGATTCTACTGTATATGAGTCCAAGATTTTTTTCTTGTAGCTTAGTATACCTGGTTGAATACAAATCATAGCCCATAGGGCATTCCAAGGCAAACTTTCAGGCCCAACTACAAATTAAAGTAGGCAATGCCCTAAAGTTTATTAAAAAGAAATAAGTTAATATGTATTTTAAAAAATAAAAATAATTCAGCCTTCTTTTGGGAAAGTACTTTATTAATATTTTTAAATAAATTAATATTTTACAGTTTACCTAATACTTTTCTTTCCTAATCAAAACAATTTGATCAATACATTCATAATAATTACTTTGATATGTTCAATCATGCGTAATTTGACATGAAATATTTTCATTCTGTGTTTGGTAAAGCATTCTATCATGTAATTCATTGAAATATTATTATTTTAGCAATATTTGATTTGATTGGTAGAGCCTAACTATTATTAAATTGCTAAACAACTGGCACTTGGGGTATGATTCCAGGTGTCTTGCACTTTGTGAGGCTTACATTTTTTTTTGATAAATCTATGTTATGCACAATTTAGGTTCTTATTAGCTCTAGCCTAACAAGTACTGTAATATGAAATATGTAATGAATGAAAACTAGAATCTGCAGTCTACCAGATTTTTACAATTTAAATCTTCAAGACCACCTGATTAAGGTTTTTAGTATTTTTCTTCTAGTATTTATTTACTTACTTTTACTTTTTTAAATCTTTATTGTACACAACATAAAAATACGAGGTATAAAAAGCGAGTTTAATGCCATTGGCATTCTCTCCCAGCTGTATAGCATATGAGTACTTTTGGAATTTCATTGATGGATTATAACAACTGTACTAAGGGAATCTATTCCCTATTGTTATTAGGAATTTGATCTACAATGGCAAGAACAACATGCAAGCCTGGGGCCTCATCGTGCTGCTGGTGTCGAAGGCAGCCGGCCACAGCCCAGAGATACCTGATATGGAGCAGGATAAGGCAGCTGGAGTACTGCACAGGTACATTACTTATTGTTTAACCCTTTAGGGTCACCGCAGATGGGCTTCGACACACGTAAATGTATGTAAAAAACGTATCTTACTTTTGGCGGTGTTCGGGTAAAAACGCTGGTGATCGTGTTTTGTGGCTGTGGCGTGAAGCCCGTGTGTAGCGACCCTTATAGTGCACAACATGTTAAAAAAATATTGATTTTCGTCCTTATGATAAATAAATAAAAAGCGCAAATTTTGGTTGCATTGTATGTGGTCAGCCCAGGCTTTAAGCAATTCACACCTACCAATAGACTTCGGAAAAAAAATTCAGACCAGATTGCGCCGAGGAGGCCTCCAGACCTCGGCGCAACCTTCTCTTTCTATGATCTGAGGCGCAACCAAACCACCAAACCACAGTTACACCAAAGATGTTTCTAAATATTACTTTATAAGTTACCTATGTTACAAAACATGGGTTGTAAAACTAATCAACATTAAGTTTCCACATCTGGGTCAGATCATGTTAATGATATGATAAACTTTCTCCTATAAAAGTTTAGGAAAATTGATCTGCAATAGATAGCTAAGGGCCCTTCTATTTGTAATACTACATAGTTTCTAGCCTATGTTGTTGATTTTCTCTACTGATATCGTATTCGCGATGTTGAACTTGCTACGTAGGTATTAATTAATGTTATGCAGGTGCCTAGCTAACAAACTGGCAATAGTAAACAACTCGCTAAGCTACTGATAGGACATCTGAATTGCAAGTTTTACTTGAAACAAATGCTGTCTAAGGCTAGTTTTAGAATCACGCTGACGCACACTCACCGTCAACGCTGACTGCCGAAATGTATAAAGCGTCGGCGCCGAGCGATCAGCGTATCTATAAAACGTTTCCTTCAATTACATACATATTGATCTGTCAGCAGTGCCGACGATCAGCGAGCGGCCAGCGCGATTCTTAAGGCCTGTACCTCTAGCACGAAAAACTTGCGACTTTGAATCGCTTGCGTAAGTTCGTGCTAGAGGTACTGGTTCAGACACTGCGATAATCGGGAGGTTGCTGCGCCAGTTCTCGTAAATTTGCATTAATGAGATTCACCCAGAAACCGCAAGGTAATCGCGTGTCTGAACTAGGCCTAAGTTACAGATCGTGCCATCCAAGAAGACGCGCCCCACCATTCGGTATCGGTTTGAGTGTTATCGGTACACGCTAATTATCCATGAGTTAACGCATACTACATTATTTTCGCGACTGACGCTCGGATCAAATTCCCCGCACACCGCAGTTCCTTCGACCAAAAGTTGGTGGGGCGCGTCTTCGTGGATGGCGTCTAATATCTCAGTAGGTGCTAATAAAACTGGTGTTTCGCAGTCAACGCGCCCTGGCCGAGGTGACGGAGATGATCCGCACCTCGCACCTCGTGCACAAGGGCCTCGTCAACATGAACGCGCGGCAGCAGGTGGCCGGCGAGCCCGACGACATGATGTTCGGGAACAAGATCGCGCTGCTCAGCGGCGACTACCTGCTGGCCAACTCCTGCTCCGAGCTCGCCAACTTGCGGTCAGTACAGTACAACAGAGACAAGGGCCAACTTGAGGTCAGTACAGTAAAGTACAACAGAGACACAAGGGCCTCGGCAACATGAACGCGCGGCAGCTGGCGGCGAGCCCGACGACATGATGTTCGGGAACAAGATCGCGCTGCTCAGCGGCGACTACCTGCTGGCCAACTCCTGCTCCGAGCTCGCCAACTTGAGGTCAGTACAGTACAACAGAGACAAGGGCCTCGGCAACATGAACGCGCGGCGGCAGGTGGCCAAGCCAGACGACATGATGTTCGGGAACAAGACCGCGCTGCTCAGCGGCGACTACCTGCTGGCCAACTCCTGCTCCGAGCTCGCCAACTTGCGGTCAGTACAGTACAACAGAGACACAAGGGCCTCGGCAACATGGACGCGCGGCAGGTGGCCGCGAACCAGACGACATGACGTTCGGGAACAAGATCGCGCTGATCAGCGGGGACTACCTGCTGGCCAACTCCTGCTCCGAGCTCGCCAACTTGCGGTCAGTACAGTACAACAGAGACAAGGGCCAACTTGAGGTCAGTACAGTACAGTACAACAGAGACACAAGGGCCTCGGCAACATGGACGCGTGGCAGGTGGCCGCGAACCCGACGACCTGATGTTCGGGAACAAGATCGCGCTGCTCAGCGGCGACTACCTGCTGGCCAACTCCTGCTCCGAACTCGCCAACTTGCGGTCAGTACAGTACAACAGAGACACAAGGGCCTCGGCAACATGGACGCGCGGCAAGTGGCCGAGTCCGACGACATGATGTTCGGGAACAAGATCGCGCTGCTCAGCGGCGACTACCTGCTGGCCAACTCCTGCTCCGAGCTCGCCAACTTGAGGTCAGTACTGTCTAATATGAGGACCACTATGTAAGTAATTAATAATTAGTAGGTATAGGGATGCGGGCAGCGCAGGACCGTTCATTGTGGAAAACCTTGGAGGAGGCCTTTGTCCAGCAGTGGACGTCATTCGGCTGAAACGAACGAATAGGGCATGTGACATTGACGCGGCAGCAGGTGATGGCATGAGTTCGGCCAACTTGGGGTAAGTGGAACTAGAAAGAGGCGTTGTATTCCATTATTTAGGGATTTTAGTATTTATTCTTATACTTGTATATAAGCTCGATTGAACGCACGTTAGGTATAGTGGCCGGTGCTGAGGCCGTTCGGCAACAAAATCGCGGATACTACCCGCTCGCCAATTTGAGGTACTTACTTTATGTAGATGTTAGAAAATAGACCACTAAAAAGACGATACACTGTTGTTCAGAGGTAAGTATATACTAGCTCTCGCTCAGAGTTCACTAACTTGAGGAATATAGACATGGTCATGCTAACCTTGCAAAAGTGAGACAATCACGCGGATTTACCGTCTGCCGAACAAAATAATATGTCAACGGTTAAGGACACTTTATCTCCTGGCAATCATACTTAACATGCAATAAAAATACTGCGCCTCTATAAACTCTTGCGTTAGTGCACTCGACTATAGATACTACACTCAACATCAAATAAATCGCACCTCCTGCAACAAGCACTTTCAAATGTATGCATCCCCACTTCCCACAAATGTTGGCTTCATTTCATTAAAGGAAAGGTTTTATTCCCAAAAATGTGTCTTTATAAGGATCCAGAGTCACTTCTTCAAAAAATAGGTAGTAGTAGTTACGCTTGAGCCAACTTTTATGGCTATAAAACTGTTAAGTTGGGATTAATCGCTATCCATCTGTTAAAGAGGACACGTGAGTTCAATTTGGTTTTATAACCATAAAAATTGGTCTAATTGATCCCAGAGGTGAGCCCAAAGTGAGGTCTTTTTTCAAGTCACATTTATGGTATGTTAATCATTTATTAAGAAATTAAATGTGTTTTTTATTGGGCTTTCAAATAACACCAATATTGTTGGGGCACCATGATTGTGTCAGAAGAAAATCTATAAAGTTCTCGTCGCGGAAGGTGCGATTTATTTGATGTTGAGTGTATTAGATGAACTGTCGATTACAATAAAAATAGAGAGTTGCGTTGCGTTGCGTATTCCGCAATGGTCGGCTGCAGACTGCAATGATCCGTGCAGTATTTGGGTGAAGTGAACGCCAGTTACGGAGTTGCCTATATTTCCACGTGCGTACACGCTACTTACCTTGTTACTAACAAGCACGTTGGTGTGTACTTAGGTAATGTCTACCTAATATGCTGAACGAATCCATTCATACAATCTAGGTAAACCTACATATTTCCACCGGAGTCATTATCTGAGTTGAGACTATAACCGTATCGACTGCCTATAGGTCGTAACTTAGGTAATAGAGCCGTTCTCAAGTCACCACTGTTTAGTCATTGTACTTATGCCACTGTTGCACAAATAATTCTTTCTAGAATCTAGACTAATCTTAGCTCTCATTTGGCCTTACTTTAGTGTTGAAATGATGATGAAAACCGACGCTAGCATAGCACAAGCACTAAGTTGCGTAAGAATGTGGTTTAGACTCTAGACGATAGACGCACCGTCCGTCAAGTGAATTTTCTTTGATGCTATAACAATTAAACAATGTTTGATTTTACAAAAAGTATTAACTTTATTTGTAACTAATTATGTACGTGGCTTCGTAACGCGTTTCGCTACATTTTTCGTTGATGCTCCGCTCCTATTGGTCATAGCGTGATGTTATTACATATACCTACTTAGCCTTAAATTTTCAAATCGAACCAATACTTATTGAGATTAGCTCGTTCAACCAAACAAACAAACCAAAGATTTATGATATTCTATATATATATAAAAGAAAGTCGTGTTAGTTACTCCACTTATAACTCAAGAACGGCTGAACCGATTTAGCTGAAAATTGTCAGGGAGGTAGTTTAGAGCCAGGAGAAGGACATAGGATACTTGTTATCCCGTTCGAAATAAAAAAAGTCTGCTTATTTATTGCCATTAAGGCGGAACAAAGTTCGCCGGGTCAGCTAGTTCTTTAATAAACATAACAAATCGTGGGAATCTATAATTGTGTTGTTTCTTCTTGCAAAACAATTCGCATGACGTTGTCTTTGGTGTTTATCGAGTTTAACGCCATAGTTGAAGTACGTTCAAATCTTCTCAGACTGCACTTTCAAGGCCTGCTCTGAGCCGACTTACGTAATCCGCCATTAAGTAAATCGGAGTCCGTCAAACTGGTACGAGACATTATTGATAAAGTGGTAAATTTTCCATGGTTGTATAATCGCGCGTGTAATTTTCCCGGTTTTCTATACAGGTTGATTTTTGTATCAGTATCCTTAGGAGCGACTCAAATCAGTGACTTACTTAATTGATTTACGTAAAGAAAACTTTTTATACGCGGTTTCAAAATTGGCTCACGTGGATAATTTGCTTCGTTCATAGAAAAATAGGTACACACTGCTAACTAACTGCAAAGCATAATACACATAATGGTGAGCGAAAATAAGCAACCTTTAAAACTTAAGATATGGGCACCCGCGAATAAAAATACCTCGATTAAAAATAATTAAGATAAAGTAAGTATTGTTAAATTGTTCTAAAGAGCTTATTAAAAAAATTGGATACTGATTACAAAGTCACCCTGTATGTATTGTGAAAGTCCCGTAGTAATTCAGTCCCATCTTGTATTCCTATCTCTCTGGGACTATTGTTTTGTTCGGGAAAGTTACGCGGTTGTAAATTATGAGTGCGGTGTTGAATACTATTACACCATTAAATACTTTGAGAGTGTGGAGTATGGAAGAAAACTTCATTTACTATCGGTTAGGTATCCGATTTTATTAATAACCCTGCAATCTACTAAGTAGGGGGCAAAGACCTACGAGTAACTTGTAAGTATAAGTACTACAATATCTATCAATTGTAGAGCTAAGTACTTAAATATACCTATCGTTTTAAGTAGTTTCTCTTCGGCCATGGTCATCTTTGGGCTTAAGGTATAGGTACTTATTTGCGATGGCGAATTTTTGGCTAGGTTTTCTGAGTACCTACTTACCTAAGTATGGCAATGTGATAGGCCAAGTTAGCTTACTTAAAAGTAGGTAACTATCTCTGTTACCATTATGCTTGGAAATTATTTCCATTTATGAAAATCTTTCGTACAACTTTTTCATCTGAGTATTTAAAATAATAACTAATATGGCTGAGTTGCACCACCTAACTTTGACCGTAATTTTGACGATAACCGGTACTTTTGTATGGATTTTGACAGATTTTTGACGTTTGTCAAAGTTAAAGTAAGATGGTGCAACCCAGCCTAAGCACCGTAAAATAATCGGGTCAAATCGTGACTCGGAAAGTTTCGCTGCTGATTTGCATTCAAAACATTATGTTGCAAATGTTTATTAGATGCGCTAGAACAAGATCTTTATTGCCCATTTTATTGTCTTATGGAGAGGGATATTACAATAAAGAATTATGTATGTTTTACATTTCAAAGAGAATCATTATAATTTTCGAGTGGTCTCTCTCTCTTTTCGAATTCTGTGGGGGATAAACTTAATTGTTTGATGCAGTTGCCCATTTCTTTCTTTCTTTCTTCTTTCTTTTCAGCCAAATGACGTCCACTGCTGGACAAAGGCCTCCCCCAAGGTTTTCCACAATGAACGGTCCTGCGCTGCCCGCATCCAGGCTCTTCCCGCGACCTTTACCAGATCGTCGGTCCACCTAGTAGGAGGCCTGCCCACGCTACGTCTTCCAGCCCGTGGTCGCCACTCGAGAACTTTCCTGCCCCAACGGCCATCGTCTCTACGAGCTATGTGCCCCGCCGTATGTGTAACTTCGAGAAAGAGGTCAATCGTCGAATCCAACTCGGATGGGCAGCGTTCGGGAAGCTTCGCCATATACTCACGTCCGAAATACCGCAGTTGCCCATTAATTATAATAATTTGATAAAACCGTTTCTCTATAGGTCTAGAGCTAACTCAGCCAGTGCCTGAGGTATGGGAGCTGCTGTCTGTTGAAATCAAACTTCAGATTTGTATGCTCTGTCACATCACAATGTTTTTGCCACCCCTCCCCTGCCGCTTCCATGCCTCTGGCACTGACGAGGTTAAGCTACAATTTTTTTTGATGTTTCTGCTTCATGGCAAAGGAAACGACTCGGCCGAAAATCTTTATATGGACCCCAACACCTGTGTCCATACACGATCCCTTCTGCCTACATATAACAGCTTGCAGGAGTTCACTAAGACCGTTCGGCCAAATTTTGCTATGACCCAAGTGTTAACCAATCACGGTTATCACAAATCATATTTGCACCGCTTTCACATCGTCGCCGATGAGAATTGTCCCTGCGACGACCAAACCTCTCAAACGTGGAAGCACCTATTAACACAATGTCCCCGATTTGTAATACAACGACAAAATCACGAAATTACTTCCTCCATGCTCAATGTCGAACCATACCTACAATCTTACAGATTTAATTAAAAAAGAAGAGACCATCAAAAGCTTTCAAAAATTCATCACCTATATTGTAAATCACCTAAAAGAATTCAACAAATAGAAATGTAATCCAACTTATATCCAAAAAATAGCACACCGTCTTGCAACTGGAGTAATCCAATAGCACCTTTTGCAAGGCATAACAAATGATCATTTATAAAAAAAAAAACTGTTTTTCAACAATAAGCCACTTCTTTGGTTGATTCCTCAGATTATGTTTTCTTCGAGAGCCATAAGTAGGTACTTGTGTGACAATTCATTTCACACGACTCTCTTGATGTCAGGTGGTAAATCTTTTATGTAGGCTCGGGTACAAATACGATTGTTCAAAGCAAGCTACATATTCCCGAGGTAGTTATAAGGTCTCTAGGTCCATATCATTATTGTAACTTGTTCTTGCAATTGCTAGTTAAGGCTAGTAATTATTATATTCCATACCTACTTACATAACGGAACTGCAAGCCGCGGCCCAAATGCAAGAGAACACAGTTTCTCCTGCCCTCGAACGTGATAAACTTACGAAGGACATTCATAAATATCAGTTCTTTAGAACTCATTATTGAATTTAAACTATAGGTAACTTTATAAGTAGTTTTAAAAAGCTTATTGACCGCATTGAACTTAAATTAAATGTCTATCTATGAGGATCTAAATGAAGGTAAACATTTTGTATTTCATTTCTACATTATTGTTTTATTTCTCTCAATAAACCAGCAGCTTGACCACAAGCATTGGCTTTAAACGTTATTCTAAAGTCTAAAACTGACGTTCCTTTGTTTTATTAGCGTGCGGCGTAACGCAGGGACCTATCATGTGTCCACTAGTTGTAGTTGCGGACAGAATACTGATGGAGCAAGCGAAAGTGCTGTTCAGCGACGCTAGGTGTGAATTATTATAATATCGGCGAAAATATTTTTAGGTAACAGTTTATTGTTAGGCGATTTCTATTGGGATTTTTTTCAGGACTGAAACACGCTTTGTTAAATGTTTCTTTTAGTTAAAGTACTTTCAATAATCAATTGCGGAAACATTAACGTCACAAGAAAAATAGTCACTAGGTTATTATTTTGTGATATTACACTCAGTACCTTAACGTACCTGAACTCTAGGTTTTGCCCTACAAAGCTTTCACTCACCATATTTATTAGTATTGTATTACGATAGGTCAAGTAAGCGATATATTTTTGGTTAGATTAAATAAGAAAATAAATAACTTATTTTCCTTTTTTTTGCAAATATTCCGTCTCGTCATGTATTAACGGTCAAAGAGCGTTTTTTTTGTTAAAGGTGGCACTAAAAGTATTGTTTTTAACTAAAGATGGAACCAAGAGTTTTGATACATTGTCTCTTCCAAATGACATAGATCAAGTTACTTTATTGTTGTTGAAGTTTCGAAGTTTTCTCCACTTTCCCTATCTTACCCGCCTCTTTGTTTTGCTCAATGCAAGTTATTTCCAGTTCACTAGGTGTACTGTAGACACACGCTCAAATGCGCGCAATGTATAAAGTCTAGTATGCAGCAGTGCCTATTTATATTTTAAGCGGGAAAATGATTAGCGTATTATCCTTATCCATGGGAATGGGCAAATAATCTCAGGAAGTAACAGTCCAAGAAAGACTTATGTTGCGATAGAAGCCTAACAAACACGCTCTGCCCCAACCGGTCGACCACAATCATGTATGCATCTTGAGCGTGGTATAATAGGCAGACAGTCATTTCAGGGCAGTCATTTATGCTCTTAGATTTATTTCTCACATATAGCTTGCCCTACTTCACCATCACCGCTTGCTTCGGGACAATACGTAGGTATATTGGCTAACGGCGAAAATCATAAATAGGTAAATACCTCCAGTAGAAATTATGCTTTATATCTTGGCCACAGGAACCAAGAGGTGGTCGAGTTGATGTCATCAGCCGTGCGGGACTTAGCCGAGGCGGAGTTTACTGCAGAAGAAGCTAGAGAATTGCTAAAAATGTATTCCTTTTTTGTACACACGGGTTCATGAGCTTGCGTTGCAATCGCAGCCTTATCTCCAATGGAAATTCAACCTTATTTCGTGGCCATAGGAACAAGGAGCTGATAGAGTCGAATTTACTTGAGCTTGTGTCTAGCTTTGTCTCCAATCTAAAGTCCACTTTAATCCCTGGCCATAGGAACCAAGAGCTGGTCGAGCTGATGTCGTCAGCCGTGCGAGACTTAGCCGAGGCGGAGTTCCTCGGTTACAGGGACGAAGAAAACAAGTCACCTTTACTGTAGAAGAAGAAAGAGAATTGCTAAAAGTGTATTCCTTTTTTGTACACACGGTTTCAAGAGCTTGCGTTGCATTCCAGCCTTTTCTCCAATGGAAATTCAACCTTATTTCTTGGCCATAGGAACAAGAAGCTGATCGAGTCGAATTTACTTGAGCTTGTGTCCAGTTTGTCTCCAATCAAAACTCAACCTTATTTCTTGGCGACAGGAACCAAGAGCTGGTCGAGCTGATGTCGTCAGCCGTGCGAGACTTAGCCGAAGCGGAGTTTCTCGGCGACCGGGACGAACAGAATAACCCGCTGCCCTCCCGCCCTTTGCCGGAGGCGGAGTGGGGACCGGCTTCTGGTGAGAACACTTTTATTCCTCTTTTATTTTATTTCCCTAACTTTATTGCTCAAAAATCTTTCCTTGCTAGAAGCACTTGGTATGTGGGCAGCGCAGGGCAGGTTGATATCGAAATCCTTGGGGCCTTACTGCTCAGCAGTGGATTAGACGTCTTTAGGTTGAAAAGAAAAGAAAGAAAAATAAATGAAAAGAATGTACGCACAAAGAAAATACCATGTTTGTTTGTAGACTTTCTTTCATTTCAACCTAATGCCATAATAGACTGTTTGTGTATGGGTGCTTTTCCGCCACTTTTCCTCGGCACACACTCCAAAAGTTTTAGTACGAAACATTTAGAGTACATCTCTATTTTGTACCTAACATTTTAACTATTCTTTACATTAATTCTACTCGTAATTAATCATCCAACTCGCACCTTTGTGTAATTAATAGCTTTGCACAAGCACGTTCAAGTTTCGAATGAGCAAAGCTAAAAGTCAATAGATCGCGAACTGTCCATATTTGCCTAGCGACGTCAATGCGGGTCAATGTGTAAACTCGTGCGCATCCGCCATTCACTTTACAACATAATCTTTGAGTACTCTCATCAGATTTAACATGGCTATTTATAGAACTAGATAGAGTCGTCTATAAATAGATTGATTAAATATGTTTGTATCATCATTGCAGTAACAACTCTACTAACATCTAGAATAAACAACATTTTATTGGGTTTAACCGCTTGAGTCCCAGACGGCATTAATTAATGTCATAACAATTGATTATCTATTGTGTCTAGATTCGCGGGCCTTGAAGGATTAATAGTGTTGTATCATATTAAAACTTTGCCAAACACATTGAGAAATGAGAAGTGAAAATAAAAATTAACAAAAAACTTTTGAATTCTGTTTGCGAAAGTTACAACTTTATTGCAAAAATGTATTACGGTTTGTTGCGCAAGATAGACATTCAATCACCGATACTATTCCCACCTCTCGTTCCCACCACTGTAACTCCTGTGTAGAGGATCTACAGCTTAACCGCCATAAAAACCCAACATATGAAGTTCAAGTTTGTCTCGGGGGAAAGTCAAACAATCATTGGACCCGCAACGAAATTAATCACAAGAACATAGGAGAAGTTCGAAATTAAGGTTCGACTTCCCTCCATTGCAAAGCGGATGACAGGTGAGAAACAAAGGTTTAATAACCTCTCACCGAGAGTGGGTTTTAAAAGAAAATGTATGCTGGCTTAGCCCAAAATGAAATGAGTACCATCACCTTACAGCTATCCGAGAACAGCATAACCACGTCCATAATATTCGTCACTAACACATAAAATATCTCGTGTGCTTGACGAAACTTCAAATCCTATCAGGGTCAAGACAATTACGAGATTTTTGAACCTAGTCGAAGCGCATGGAAATTTACCATCTCTCTCTTACTTGGTTATGTGGTCATCAGCATATGTAATCGGTGAAGGTACCTACTTCTTAGGGGAAAGTGAATCTATTTTGGTATTCAATTAATGCATTTTTTTTATCAATTTAATGCTGTAATTGAGTCTTCTAATGAGCCATCAAGAATTTAAAACTATTTCTAATACCAATATTATTTTTGTAATTTCTTTATTACTACTTTATTCGTTAGTATAGCATTTCAAATAATAAATCAGTGCCGAGTCAATGCAATTTCAATGCAATAACGTGGTCGTTAATAATAACAATTAAAACACAATGTCGAAAAATGACAAAATATGAATATCACAATTTTGGTAATAACTACTCGTTTGGAGTGTACGTAGCACAACCCAGGCCTGTTCATCTCCGCGGATTTACATCGAAAACAAAACACCACGGCGTACCCTCTTATAGGCCTAGGATGCGCGCCGCGATAAGCTTTTATCGCGAAATTTTATCGATTTCATGCGATTAGCCCATACGTTTGTCGTCTAAAATCATCGATAAGATTTTATCACGGCGCTCAACCTAGTCCGGCAGAGATGTTTAGTCGACAAGGCACTCACGAACGAGCATTGACGCGCTCGCACGCGTATCCTCCGTACATTTGCATTGTAAAGACATTTTTTACTGCTTGGTTAATAATAATTAGAAACACAAAATACACTTTTTTTAAGTTGCTTGTTGATGTCATTGAAAATACATTTTTTAAAATAAAGAAAACTTTCTGTACGTAATACTTAATACTCGTATTATTCTGTGGAACAGCCAATAAAATAAATAAAATGGGTTTGATGACGTGTAACAAGCATTGACATGTGCAGCGATCGTGATAATATCATGAAGATGACGTCTTCTGTTTTCAACCCATATTGTTATTGTTGAAAGAAAATTATGGTTTAGCCACAGAAAAACTGGTCAGTCATACTATAAGTCAGTATATCAGGAATAAACTGTATTTCTTGTCTTAAAGGGCATTCTATTTCTTTCCACACTATTAAACTCGGCTAAACCAACTACGATGTGTAAAAAACCACATTCCACAGTGTAATGTGATGTCCACAGCACACTGTGTATTAACATTCAACGTGTGTCGCGTTCGCGCCCTGAATGCTAACGCTAGTGTCCCACTGTGCGAATTGCACCGCCTCAATAAGGAACAATGTGGTGCTTACTTCATTCTTCCGTCTCTGTGTTTATTCTTACTTATTGATGCGATGTCATGAAAATTGAGACGTGAATCTTGTTCTGTTTCCTATAACAATTCTGTCAGACTCGCTAATAATAATAGGGTACTAGAAATGGTATGCCAAAAAATATTTATCCTCATTGACTGGGCTCATCAATGCGGGATTAGGAACTTTTCTTTCACAAATACCTATTCGGCACTGAATGAAGATTTATGTCATCAATTTGGTCATTTCGGACTATGGTAGTCTATTACTGGGCGTAAGCCTTCCCCAAGTAGTACACAAAGCACGATTCTCCTCCTTACGTCTTCGCTAATTTTGATAATAGACTGTCTCCATTCGAGAGTTTGTCCAACTTTGTCCATTTTGCCTCTTTAGCTTGTATCTTGGACGACAATAATGTTATATTACACCTTACATTCTACCACTTAAGCTTGCATTCAGTAGGTTCTCTGCATGTGTTCTAAATGTTATATTACACCTTAGTAGGCTAACGTCCATTATTTAGCTTGCGTCCTGAAGCATACTACTTCAGTACGCTAACTCCGTATGTTGTTCCAGAATGGGACTGCATAGTGGACCCGTTGCCCATGGGCGGCGTAGCAGGCTGCCTGCCTCGCGAGTGGGCCTCGCGCCACGTGCTCGCGGCGGGCGCGCTTCTCGGCAAGAGCTGCTCCGCCGCGCTCAAGCTGGCGGGCCACCAGCCGCAGCTGCAGACGCAGGTCGGTCGAGTGTCCCCACAGCACAGGTCGCTGCCGGGCGGCTGGCGGGCCACCAGCCGCAGCTGCAGACGCAGGTCGGTCGAGTGTCCCCACAGCACAGGACGCTGCCACGGGCGGCTGGCGGGTCACCAGACGCAGGTCAGTCGAGTGTTCCCACAGCACAGGTCGCGGCCACCAGCCGCAGCTGCAGACGCAGGTCGGTCGAGTGTCCCACAGCACAGGTCGCTGCCACCAGCCGCAGCTGCAGACGCAGGTCGGTCGAGTGTCCCACAGCACAGGTCGCTGCCACCAGCCGCAGCTGCAGACGCAGGTCGGTCGAGTGTCCCCACAGCACAGGACGCTGCCACCAGCTGCAGCTGTAGACGCAGGTCGGTCGAGTGTCCCCACAGCACAGGTCGCTGCCACCAGCCGCAGCTGCAGACGCAGGTCGGTCGAGTGTCCCACAGCACAGGTCGCTGCCACCAGCCGCAGCTGCAGACGCAGGTCGGTCGAGGGTCCCCACAGCACCGTTGCTGTCAGTTCAAAAGGACGTATGTCAAATCCAAATGTAAAAATTAAACAGTTTTTTGTGTCTCCTGAAAACCTACTTTTATAAAATAAATCCTTTTGAACTGACAGCGACGATAGGACGCTGCTATGGGCGGATGGCGGGCCACCAGCCGCAACTGCAGACGCAGGTCGGTCGAGTCGGTTCACATCATCATCATCATCATTTTAGCCACAGGACGTCCACTGCTGAACACAGGCCTCCCCCAATGATTTCCTTATCGCGTGGTTGGTAGAGGCCTGCATCCAGCGCCTTACTGCTACCTTTATGAGGTCTTCGGTCCTTCTCGTGGGTGCGTTTTCCGGTACGTGGCCTCCAGAATCTTGCTGCCCCATCAGCCGTTAATTCTGCGTACTATGATGTACCCTTACCATTGTCACTTCAGTCACAGCTTCAGCTTGCTAATCCATCAGGCTATGTCAGCGACTTTAGTTCGTTTACGGATGTCCTCATTCCTGATTCGATAACGTAAAGAAACACCGAGCATAGCCCTTTCCATAGCACTCTGTGCAACTTTGAGCTTCTTTAAGAGGCCTATTAGTGGTGGCATACTGCACAAATTGTTGCCATCTCTAAAATTTGGCCAAGACGCGTGAAAGCTCCGGATTTTGAGCCCAGTACCCGAATGTCAACAGAACTTTTTTAGTCGCGTCGCCCAACATCGATCTATGGAATAAAATGTTTAAACCCGGTCTACAAAAACCTACGTAACCTTAAAACAACAATAATAAATAAATAATAGAGAATAAATTATTTATTGAATTATTTATTTGACAATTTAAACTCTAGAATCTTATGCTACAAAAGGTAAAATTATATACATGTGCCTGAACTAGGAGATTTTTTCCTGTATCTCAGGCGAAATAAAGGCTTAACAATGTGTGAGTTCAGTGTGCTGTTATACTCAAGGTGAAAAAAAATCACTGACACCTCAGTCAGTCTATGCATCGGGCAAGATGTGCCTTAAAGGTCACTTCCTGTCCGTCCGGTGGGTTCGAGAAATGTCAACGGAAACACGGAAATTCGATAAATTCACTCAAGACGAAGAAAGTACCTTGAACTCTACGTTAAAAGTTGCTTGGTGCACTTAAACCAGAGGTAGGTAATAGGTATGTTACACACACTTCCGTCTATTTGTCTGTTTTTTATTTAGTAAAGAGTTTTGTACAAACGACCACGTAAAGTTATTTTGTTGAACAGTTATTAATTATGAAAGAAAAATATGAGTAATATTTTCTAATTATATTATCTGTCTGACGGACAAATAATTGAAATTTTGTCATCTAACCTAAATAGTAATCTTTAATTTGTTTTAATATAAATCATATCAAGTAGACATAATTAATATGCAGTAAACGATCATAAGAGAATAATACCCAAGTCATTAATTTGTAGTTAGGTATCCATTACAATTTTATGGGGTTCATTTAATTACGAACAGTTAAAATGTCAGACCTTGCGAGTTATGTAACATTTAAAACGTTCAGGAAAACTTAATAGCTGGTACCACCTATTTATTAAAAAAATTGTATTTATTTTTCAATGGGAAAAAGTATAGAATTTTTGCTTTAAATCAAGAATATTATAGTAGTTCTATTTGCGCATTTTCGCAACATTTTACGAGCACTTACTTACCTATTAGATTGCTTGCACAAGTCAAGTACTGGCGACATCAGCAAAGCGCATTAGAAAGTTCTCCACCATTGTACAGTTTAAGGTCATGCCTGTCTCTTGAAGGAGGCCCTTTGAAGAGGGCACGATTTGACCCGTGCGTTGTAAAGGAGACATGATGCTTTTGAAATTAAAATAATATTTATATTTGCTTTGTCTTGGAAAATGTATGTAGGTTAGGTAGGTACTTTTTATATTACTAACATGTCTACCTACGAAGGTAAAAACAATCCTGAACACTATTAACGCACACTATTATTTTCGACAATGCGTATTTTTTTCAGCAATGAAGGCCATTTTGTTTAAATTAATGCTTCTTTTACCCATCAATCGAAGAGTCCTAGTGCCTCTAAGTAGTGCTCCTAACAACGTCTAACAACTTAAAGACATTCGATCTAAAATATTGTTGCTTTAGCCTAGGCGCAGACCACCGACTTTTAGTCGGTCGATAGTTGGGCCCGATTTTAATTTGTATGAAAATCAAAACGGTGTAATGTGCGCACTTCTATACATGCCCATACTGGTTAACTGCCCGACTAAACTATCGGCCGACCAAAAGTTGAGGTCTGCGCCTAGGCTTAAGATTATTATACGGCTTATGGCTGTACCCTTTGATTGCGTTTGCTATCTGATTTTCCGAGGTTTGCTATTGGATTATGCAAATCCATTTCTGAGCGTTGAACATTTTAATATTGATGAGTAAGCACCTAATGAGCCTGAAATATTCATGATTTATGCCATATTTTGCTATGTTAATTTTAGATGAGTAGAACATATTTTGGTTGTTGTGATATTTTAGTAACATGTCAACACTATAAACGGGACTAAGTATACCCTCTCAACCGTGTTGTGGTGTTCAGGCAAAATAGGACTACTCCTATTCTTCCCGTGGATTTCATGGAAAGTGATTCATTGAGAAATATGCGAACATAAACGATGAGTTTTGAAATCTATATATATTCTTATAATGATAGTCAATTGAATTCGCGAATCGGTGACGTCATTGGTCTACCGTTTTTCACAGATCATCATAAATTATAGCCTATATGTTATTCTGGATTATGAACAATAATACTGTGAAGTTTCATCAAAATCCGTTCAGTGGTTTTTGAGCCTATTCATTACAAACATACAAAAATAGGTACAAATCTTTCCTCTTTATAATATTAGTATATATATGCACCACGGATGATAAACATCAATTGAGGGGGACCTATCTTATGAGTTATTAGCTACCTGTCAATAGTATTTTTCACAAAAACAGATAGCTCATAAAATATATAGTGTCAATTTTATTATCCTATCTTCTTTCGTTCCAGGGCTACCTGTTCGGCTGTCACTTGGCTCTAGCCTGGCAGGCGTTCCTGGACCTAGAAGCATTCACGGGCCCTGAGCCAGCCAGCTTCTCATTAGTGGGTGCACCAGTGGCCTTCACGCTGCAGGCCCGCCCTGAACTTTATGAGCTGATTGAGCCCGGCCGCCGTAGCGTTCACGACGTAGATTATCACGCGGTGAGTGAATATGTATGACGCTTCAAAAAATTTCTCAAAGCCTACCGGGAGCTGCAGCACTACACTTGGGCTCCTGAAAGCACCCGGACTACGAAGAACACATATCATGCGGTGAGTGGATGTTTAAGATTACTCTATGAAAGTAGCTCGTGGAAGCACCAGTGGCTTTCACGCTGCAAGCTCGACCTGAATTTTATGAGCTGATCGAGCCGGGACGCCGCAGTGTTCACGACGTAGATTATCATGCGGTGAGTGTGAAAGATGCTCTGAAAAACAATCGCTTTATTTTCCGTATCATGTAGTATTTTAAAAAGAAGTTCATTCGAAATGTTAGAAATTAATGAGTTGAAGTCCAATTTCACTTGTCATTCCGTAGAGGTGTAGGTAGCAGTCGCGCCGTAGTAGCCGTGTAGCAGTCGCGTCGTAATAGTGTAGCTGTCGTGCCGTAGTAGTCACTCCGTAGTAACGTAGCAGTCTAGTGTCACAGCAGTCACTCTGTAGTAACGTAGCAGATACTTCGTAGTAACGTAGCAGTCTCTTCGTAGTTACGTAGCAGTCACGTCGTATTAAAGTACCTAGCAATTGCGTCGTATTTAAACTATTTAAGTACCTAGCAATCGCGTCGTACTGTTAACCGTAGTAACGTTAGAGCTCTTTCAAATTAGACGTTTTGAGTCGGACGTTGTCGTGCGTTTTTGCAGGACTGCACACGGTAAATTGTATGACAACTGCGTCGGAATGACAATCACCAATAGTTAGTGTGCGGTCTTGCAAACGCACGATAGACGTCCTGCTGAAAACGTCTAATTTGAAAGAACCCTTATGGTCAAACGCTTGTGTCCCTTCAGCTATACCGCGCGGTGGTGGAAGGCGACGGCATCGCGCAGACCAAGCGGCTGCAGCGCTCGCACGTGGCGTGCGTGTGATTAAACGTTTCACTAAGTTTTTTTATTAACTGAACACTGTAAATAATGTGGGCACTGCTTAGAAGAGGCAGCGCAAGAAATTCAATCACTATTGTCGATCGCGTAGCAGTCACGTCGTAGTCGTGTCTCGTGTAGCAGTCGCATCGTAGCGTGTAGCAGTTGCGCCTCAGTAGAATAGCATTCACTCTGTAGTAACGTCGCAGTCGCGCTGTAGTCGCGTCGTAGTCGCGCTGCTCCATTCATATAACTCTTCTACCTTCAGCTATACCGCGCGGTGGTAGAAGGCGACGGCATCGCGCAGACCAAGCGGCTGCAGCGCTCGCACGTGGCGCGCGCGGTGGCCGTGCTCGACAGCTTCCCGCCCGGCGACGCGCGCACTGCGCTCGCCAACATCATCGTTGCTATGCACCACGAGATATAAGGTACAGGGGCGGGGCCCAGGATACATGTCGCGTCACAGTCGCGTAGCAGTTGCATTGTAGTCGCGAAGCAGTCGCGCCATAGTCACCGTTCATCTTCCCAATTTAGATTTCGATAAAGCAAAGGGGTCACGAATATTACTTTGTCTAAAGGCCCTGACCAAACATACCTATAAAAAAACATGTATCCTAGTGGAAAAGAAAAACTACGAGCTTCAAGTATAGAGCTTTAGAACTGGAAAACTTCGGTACTTAGGTACTCATCCGTCCCACGTTTCAGTAAAACGATTTTTTGGGCACAATTTGCTAATAATATTCAGGTATTATTGTACAGTACTTATTTAAGTTTGTTATGATAATCAAAATTCAAGATGAAATAAAAATAAGTTTTTGACCTATTTTTGTAAAAAAAATGTATCCAAAATCATATATTTTAAGTAATTAAAGATTACACCATAAGTATTTAAACAAGATTTTTGAGGCTAATATAAAATGTTTTAAATTCCTAACGTTTGTAAAAAACAGCCATAATAAATACATTCCACATCTATATTATGTATAAATGTAAACATGTTAAAACAAAGTTACAAATAATAAAATGTGGGGTTACCAATGCAAAAAAAAACTTATGTAAGATTAATTATGTAATATAATTAGTGCTAAGACTGACAATGAAATAATTTTAATGCTCAAATCGATGAATTGTATGTAAAACATTTATATATTTTGAGACTTTTCTTATCTTAAAATGTCTATGAAAACATTCCACGGTTTTATAAGATTTTTTGATTAAATATAAATCGGTTTTTACTAAATTAGTCTATATTATATTTATAAGATAATTTGTGGTGTTGTTATTGTTATTTTTATATTGGATTTTATAAAAAATGCGAAAATAATTTGTCTTTTATTCAAAATGGCAAGTCCTTATTCTATGTTTATGTAACTTATTTGCAAAAAAATAAGGTGTGAAGTTTGATAATAGGGTAATAAATAAAACATGCGAAGTCTTTTTAAATTATTGTATTAATAAATAATGGTAGTTCTATTTACATGACACATTCGATTACTCTTTTGTTTTGGCAGAAGACAATAATAAAAATATCGTTACAAAGTCCATCGTAACACAAAAGCGGTTTCGTATAAAACCCACATTGGCAATACCCATCTACAAACAAATTGTATTTTTGGTTACAACATTTTGTCAATACTGGTCGATTTGGTTTCAATGGTATACTAGAACACACTGGAGACAGACACACACGCACGTGAGTTAATGGGTATATCACAGGTTGCTAGTGACCTAAATGATACATTAGTTTCTTACAAAAGACCCGAGATAATCTAAGGAAGTGTATTCGATTACATTTAGTACAACCTTGCCTGTTTCTGCTCGATTCGGTTACAAACTATTGATACAACTGCGATTGCTCTGATATGTCTTGTCACTCAATGCATCAGTTAACATGATTGGCAACTAGTAAAATGGCAAGAACTCTAGGGCATTTTACCAACGCTTTACTTAAAACAATATCCGAATACAATTTAGGCAATTTCGTAAGAATCCAAACGCCAAGCACTCCATAAGACCGACGACAATTTCGCACCATTCGTTATAGTATTTCATTCCTACGTATTACAATGTACATAGACCCCGATGTCTATTATTGCTTAGTTTTTATAAGTTTTGCTCTCAAAACTTTTACTTATAAATAATTTTCACGTTCGTCCCAATAAATTTACCATTCAATAAATACGTACACGTAAAAAATATAAACTATATCAATAGTTTAATCTTTAAAACAAACTTTTTCTTACTCTAATTATATATTAATAACTATTTATCAGTATGTTTTCATTCATTTTCAATAATATGCCTACTTTATATCTTTCCAAGCGCCTGATTTTTTTCCTTGAACGTATCCTATTCTTATAAATGTATGTTTATTATTCATCTTTTATTGTATGTTTTCTAATTTATAAAATTTATCGTCGCTAAACAAGAAAATGATCAATTACACGAACAAACAATAAGGTCACATGAGTGAGAAGATTCGCTCCACATAATATCAACGGCTAGCCAAAGTACAGGCACTCGAGAGTAAAGAAGGCTCCTTGAACATGCACAAAACAACTGCAATAATTTAATGTCGACTCATAAAGCAAATATATTAAATATTAACGTCTACCATAACACTAAATTATTACAAAGAAATGATTTGATAATGATTCACGTAATATAATAATATAAATAAGTTAAATATTCTAAAAAGTTAAAAATACACACATCTTAACCTAATAGAAAAGCACTCATGTCTTTGTTGAATAAAATACACTGCGGCGACAACGCCATGTTTCGAGTAACTAATGAAATGCCAAAACAATCAATGTAAACAAAGGCAGAGGAATGGTAATCATTACAAAATACACATAAAATAAAACAACTAATACACAGACAAAGGTACAAAAATATCAATAAACACGTCGTCGAGTCCGCACAACCTCCTCGTGATGTTTTGTACTTTTGTTCTGAGCACATACATACATACTCGTAGGTTAGTAGTTATTGAGATCATTGCGTCGCATAAAGCGGATTATGCGCTTAATTAGAAAACATCGACAAAATATGCAGACAAAATGCTAAACGTCACTATTTTATACAGCACAGAACGTAAAAATAATTAAACTAATTCCAGAAACGGTCGATTCGACCCCGGCGCAAACTAACATTACGACAAGAATATACAAAGAACTCTACACGATTACGGTCACTCGAACGATACACGATCGACACTAAGCGATAACGTAAGACTAGCTGAAATGCGATAAACACTATTAAACTTAAACTTATCTTTGATTGAAAACTCACTCGGTTACAAAATACTTCGATAGAACGGTAGTCAATTCCAACGTTAAACAGGAATTTGGGACGCACAAAGTACGCATCCTCAGCGCCTAAAGTTAAGATCCAGGAACTGCGGAACGTTCGGGAAGCTCGCATCGACTGCGACTACTGAGAGTTAAAGGAGCTTATTGATTAGGGGGCCGCGGGGGTGGCGCGGCGGGCGCGACGTCAGGTGGCGGCCTCCTGGTAGGGGCCCGTGACAGTGCAGCCGTGCATAGGAAAGAGCGTCGTCCAAGACATGGTAGTTTGCGTGTCCGTTCGCAGCATAAGCTGGCCGCTCCTTCGCGCAGCGTTGGTCGCTTCCACCAGTGCCGCTAGAGAAGTGTACCCGCCGGGAATCGCGTCCTCGTTGTTCTTCCATTTCTCCCCCTGCCTCTGCTCTAACCCGGGAGTTGATGCCGGGGACACTGAGTTCGAGTTCGGCCCTGGAGTGTTCGGCGTTGAAGGATTCAACCCTAATTTCTTAAGTCGCATCTTCTCCTCCCACTCCTCCAGCCCATGCTTTGGACGATTCAGATTTCTGTGCTGGTAGAATACCAGGGAAATTCGCGTAGGGTTCACTCTGTTTGGAGTTTTGACCGCAGTTGTCGAGTGCATCTCGTGTTTCGCGCACTCGAACAGCACACTCCCGTGACCTAAAGCGATGGCCACTCCACCCATCTGGCTGTCTTTAAAACATTCGAGATTATCCGTAAAGTCAGTCACCTCCCCGATGGGTTCTGCTTTTGGTGGTTCAGGTGGGTAAGGAATAGAAAATGGAGGTGGATACAGGCACCAGTTTGGTGAAGATTGGCACCAGTTTGGACTCGGATTTTGATAAAAGTTTGATGCGAAGTTAGGGTTGTATTGATAACCGTAGGAGTTGTAGCAGTGCGGGTTTCTTAGAAGCTCCTCCCGTTTATATTTCTCGGCGTTGTAGTAGGCTAAACTATTATAATCGTTATAACTATTTTCATAAGGATTAAAATGTCCATACGGATTAGGCGGATATGAATATGCGTTGGGCATTTGTGGGTAATTGCCGAACCCTTGAATAGAAGTTTGATTTCCATAGGAATTCTGATTGACGGCATGAAAATTATTTCCAGTGAACTCGGTGGTTGTTTTGTTGGCTAAGGCAATATTTTGTTCCTCGTGACTTATCGTAAAGTTTGTTGGAGGAGCAGATGTTGTTTGAGGTGTTGGATAATTAGTAAGCCTGTTGTCATAAGGACTTCTGTGCTCGTATCCCTGACTCAAATGCGGTCTCTCAGATGGAGGGTACGGCTTCAAAAAGGTGGAGTTTTCCATTCCTTCTGGTGGGTTGCTGTGCTGGGAGCGTGAGGGCGGCCTCGCTTTTGGGACCCTAAACAAACTGTTCTCATTCTCTGATACCAATTGTTCCTTTGGTTTCGTAGGGTCCCAATTCTTCGATTCCGGAGATTTCCACACGCTCTTTCGCACTTCTGTCGGATTAAGTGCATCATTATTGGGAGATTTTGGAATTTGTGAAGGTGCCGGTGACTCAGGTTTACTTTGAGGATGTTGAGATATCTCCGTGAGTCGCGGTGAGCTGGGCAATTCAAATTCAGGTAATTTAGGAACCATGTCTCTGGTTATCATGTTCTGTTTATCCGGTTCTGTAGGATTTTTCTGGGACATTGGATCTGAATTAGTTTCACTTCGATTGGAGTCGGGACTGTAGTTAGGTGGAACGTTCAAATGGGCCGTGGTCGAGTCCGGGTCCTCCTTCACCACGTTGTTGAACATTTCGGCGTTAGCGAAGTCCGGCCATTGGTTTTGGGGAAGCGCCGTCATCTGTTGATTTGGGTTTTGAGCATTGAAGTGGTCTCTCTTTTGTAAGCCAGAAGCAAAACTTGGAAGCTGATTCGGGTTGGGATTTTGGCAGGCGTTTCCCTCCACTAACGACGGTACACCGTTCGGGTTATACAGTGCGTTTTGGTGATGGAGGTTGTAACTCTGATCGTAAGGATTATAGGGCGAGTCGAGCACAGTGCTGGAGATTTGATTGCTTTGCAGTTGGGCGTCGGTGAAGTTGTCGATCATGGTCGCCATGTCTAACAGAGCCGGGTTGCTGAGATTAGTGTTGATGAGACCGGGATTTTGGTTGTGCATGTTGGGGTTGACGAACGCCGAGTTGTAGTGGGGGTTGTTGGTGAAGGTTGGTGTATTGGGCTGGTTTAAAGCGGGGGTTTGCGCGCGGGGGGAGGCGCTGCTCTGGCTTCGCGGGCTAGCATTATTCCTGTTATCCGGCTGTGGGGTGCGAGGAGCCGGCGTTGAGCACTGAGACTTCTTCTGCCCGCCGGGACTCTGCTGTGAGTTGTTGGAGGCGTTGGCCGAGTCGGACGTCTCTTCCTCCTTCCGCTTCTTGCCGTGACGTCTGCACGGCTGCAGTGGCACTGACCGTACTCGAACTTCCATGGGAAATCTGGAATGAGGTTTATTCTGTTAAATGTCATGTTTAGGAAAAAACTAAATATGTATGATTAATTTATCATACTTAATTATTAGTAGCTAACATTCGTTTATCTGGGCTAAAATGAAGTGTGTTTTGAGTAAGCTCTAGTTTGAAATCAGTTAAGGTATCAAACTACTCAATTGGTATGAGAAACTTTCTTTAGCTTGTACAATAAAAGAAGAGTTATACGTCACCACTCACTTATCGAGGATCTCCAGCGCGCCGCTGCGTAGTTTTTCATCCTGTGCATCCTTCGAGCCGAATTCGTCCGTCGCATCGAGCACGTATAGCGGCAAAACGTGGAGTTGCTCGTCGGCCGGACGAGCGAGCGCGCGGTGTCGTGCTAGAGTCACTACAGCTGTGCAACCGTTGTTCATATTGTGTAAGTCGCGGTGTGCGTGCGCGCAGAAGTCGATGCATGCTGTCACGCCTGGAAAGACCAGATATTTAACGCTATCATCATCTTAACATACAATATTAATGAGGGACAAAAAATATTTCAAAGTACCTCCAAGACTGTAACCTTATTGACTTAATTCTTGACATTGCACTTGCCCATAGAACAAAAAGAAGTAAATGAATGGAAAAAAGACTACGCAAAAATATTTTTTGTGAAATTAATATCTTACATAGATTTAACTCGCCCTTGAAAATGAATAAATTAGAAAAAAATATCATTAATATAATGTACCTACAGAAGAAAATATTTCAAGTAATACGCCTTATGCTATGTCAATGACATTTTAGTCGGCCTTTTGATGTCACCATTGCTCATTATAAGTTTACGGCACTATAAAAAAGATACTAAACCGGTAATTCCATTATGTCGCTTTATGTCATCCGATTACGGCATTGTTACGTTCATATGCCTTGAATGATACTCATACTTACCAGAGAAAGGTCTTCCCGGCTTGAAGCCAAGTCGGCAGTCCGAGGCTTCCTTTTCAAACTGGCATTGGTTCTCAAAGGATTTAGGAGCTAAGTTCATATAGAGCGGGCTAAGTAGAGTGGCTAGAACGTGCATTCGTTCTTCGATCTCGCTCTCTTCGGTCTTGACTGAGAGACGGAACTTTCTCACGGTCTTGGAGCGGGCGTACTTGCAGCCGTTGTAGTACATTGACCACGAGCAGCCGAAGCTGTAGGATGCACCGCACGTTTCTGGATCTAACCCTGAAAATAATAACATTGTAATGTGAATAATCGGCGTGCTAACTCCCCAAAATAGCTTCTATGCCAAAAATAAATAATTCATTTCGTAAGTTAGGTAGGTACCTACTCGTTTTTCGATTGTCGCCAGTATAATGCTATAACTAGCTAGCGTTCATATCCAAATAGTAAAGTATTTTTTGAATTTTAAAATGCTGCCATAACAAACTCCCACAGGCTGCAGTAAAGATAGATGAAGTACAGTCTACACATATTCATGAAGAAGTGTTTATTTACCCTGACAAGCACAAGTCCTATTCTCATTAGTAGCACAGCGACGAGTAGTGGGCAGCCCGTAGCGGTGCAGCTTATGTGACAGCAGAGTATAGTCCAGATCAGCCTCGGACTGCGGGATGCCCTCCCACGCGACCAGACACACCACGATCCAGGCGGTCGCGCACTTGTGGCCCGCGCGGCATTTTACAACCACGAGCACTTTCTCCGTGTAGCTGGAACGGCGGATCACCTGGAATGGGTTAGGTAAGTATTATTTGAGTTGCGCAAATGGGAATCTGACCACTGTGTATGTGTGTACCATATAATGATAAAAAGGGTTAACTTAATGAGGGCTATCGTTTTTATATTTAACAGTTGGCACCCCTGGCGATTGACAGGACCTTACTTTACAGTGGCGCCATCTTGATGAGTGCAAATGCGATAGTCCTCCTACCACTTTAGCGCTCACCAGTTGGTGCCACTGTCTTCGCTACTAGCAAGTGACAGGACCTTAGTCTACAGTGGCGCTAACTGGTGAGCGCTAAAACGATAGCCCTCATTGTTATGGAATGTGCCCCAAAATCCAGTAAAATAACGATGTTCTTGATTTGAGATTTAAAAACGTGAATCTTTAAATTAATCTGTTTAGGGATAGGGACAGGTTGACTAAATACACAAGTATTCACTAGATGTTTTTTTTAAGATATTGTATGAGTAATACCAATTTTGGGATCCATACACTCACCCATTTGGCTATCGGACAGCCTTGAGCAGATTTCCCTTCTTTCCCCGTGTAGCAGATCTTCTCCATTCTCAGTTCTTTCCCCGACAAGCCGGTACGGGCTTCAAGATCTTTGCGAAGTTCTGCTAGAGATGACGCAGCTCCTAAAAATGAAAATTGGAATTAATATACTTCCTATTAGTGAACTAAGGTCTTAAATGTTTTAAATGATGGGCCTAATGTTTACCTAAATGAGTGTAATAGCTCCCAGGCTCAGGAGGATTCTTATCAGCTGGAAAACAATTGCAGTCAGGCACTTCGGTTCTGGAGTTATTCCTTAACCTTTCAAGATTCTCTAGATATTCCTTGGAATAATTAAACTGATTTTCTTTAGGAACTTTACCCATAGGATCGGGCCCAGGCGTGCCAGGTTTTGATTGGCTCTTAGGATCATTCTTGTCAGTGCTGTCTGGGTCTTCTTCTAATATCTCATCTTTGGTTTGAAGGCCTGGACACGCACCGTCCCTTAAGTGCTCAGGTGGTGGTTTCTTGGTGGAACCTTGACGACAGCAGGAGTATCCCACTTCGTCTTTTATCGTCACTGGACCACCGTCTCCAGGATAAATATAGGGTTCGTTTCTAGGTGGCGGATAATTGTTTTTGTAAATTTTAGTTCCTGGAGGAGAATGTTCAGATTTTATCTGCTCAATGTAATACGGCGGCTTAGGCTCCGCAGACATATTTTTAACCGAATCCATTCTGTTGTCCATTTGATTGTTAGGTTTAGGTTCAGTACAATTTCTACTGTATCTTTGAAAACCCACATTTTCTTGTAACCGAGGAATTTGAGGATATACTTCAGGCTCTTGCCTTCTTTCAAAAGGATAAGGTTGAAAGTGTTGAAAGTTAGGCGGCTTTTGACCAAAATTTTCTTGTTTTATTGAGGAAATTGGCGGTAACACAGTATTTTGTTGGGGTCTCGCAATCATACCGTTTGGGTAGTCACGGTAAATACTATTCTGTTGCGCCTGTTCGTTCTGCTTTAAATACTGATTCTGATTCATGGCAACTTGGGGATTCGTTTTTAATAACCTTTCATCTTTGTGGTATTGATACGTATTATCTGGGATTTCCAATTTCGGAATTAAAGGCGCCGAAGGATGTCTAAATTTTGCATCATATGCTTCCCTATCATAAGCTCTTCTTTGTGCGTTGGTGTCCCTCGACGGGGCACGAAGTTGTTGATTCATCTCTGATACTGGTCCAATAAGCATCTTCGATTGAAAATCTTTATTATCTTGTTGATTAAAACTTAAACTATCACTACCGTAAATTTCTGCATATTTTTGGGCTCCATACTGTTCATTCGAGTAGGCACCGAATTGTCCCCTCATGTCTGCGTAAGACGGTAACTTTTGAGGAGTTTTAGATACGTTCTTCGACGTAGCGTGTTTATCATAACCTCTCGGGACCCCTGTCCCCCCCTCCCATACTTGGTGGCCACCACCTCCGAATTCACCCGCGCCATAGGCTTGGGCGTTTTGTGCATAATTACCAGCGAGCGCGTACGTTTGCTCGCCTATTCGGTAATTATCTCGGAGATGGTGGCTATACGATAAAAAATGACCGGTAGTGTTCCTATCATCACCGACGGAGACCACCCCGCCTTTTCTATCGTCTATCACCCGAGGCGGCCCTTCTCCAGGGTCGCCTTTATCCGGCGGCGTGTTGGTGCCGTCTCGGGTATGATTCTGTTTATTTAATATCATCGTTTTCAGTCTCGAGTTTAAATTAACCCTGTCTGATTGAGAGAACATTTGCTGTTCAGCGTTCTCCTGGTTTTGTTGTTGCATCTGCTGATTTTGCATCTGTTGGTTTTGATGATTTTGAATTTGATTTTGCATTTGCTGCTGTTGATTTTGCATCTGCTGTTGTTGTTGATTTTGCAACTGTTGCTGCTGTTGATTTTGCATCTGTTGCTGTTGATTTTGCAACTGTTGCTGTTGTTGGTTCTGAAGTTGCTGTTGCTGATTCTGCATCTGTTGTTGTTGCTGATTCTGAAGCTGCTGATTTTGCATCTGTTGTTGCTGATTTTGCATCTGTTGGTTTTGTAATCTTTGGTTATGCTGCCACTGGCGTTGCTGCCAGTCATTTTGATTCTGCTGCTGCTGCTGTTGTTGCTGCTGCTGCTGTTGGCCGTTCTCCCTATACTGTCCGCCATTATAGCCGCCTGAATACCCGCTACAATCTAGTGAAGCTCGCGGACCGTTGCTCCCCTGCAGGTACCCAGGCTCGGCGTTTCCCGAATGCTGTCCATTGGGTGTTGTTTGCTCCTGTCTCTCCCCATCGTTGCTGGCGTCAGTCGTGCCGTTCTCAGAGTTGTAATCCTCTGTGTGCTCAGACGTGTACTCTGTGCGTTCGTAATTTTGTTGGCTGACGGTATAAACGGGCGCAGCCGATGTGGGCACGGTGTTTTGGTAGGAAGCGGCAGATGCCGGTCGGGAATCGTTGCCTGCGTTGCCACTGGGTGTGGGAGCTTGTTGTGCGTACTGTTGCTGGTACTCCGTGGTGTAGTGCGGAGCCCTCGGCGACGGGACGGGAGTGTACGCGCCACGGTTGGACGGCGGCCTCTGCGCTGGTATGGACTGAACCCCAGTTTGGTAGTACGTGTTATTAGTCACGTCGAAGGTGGTAGCGACGTTCTGGACGGTGTACGTGGTGTTGGCCTGGTAGTGGGGCGACGTCGCGTACGCAGTGTGGTTGCCCTGATAGTCTAGCGTCGTCTGACCCGCCTGCGTTGGTAGTTGTTGGACAAACTGGTTCTGCCAACCTGGAACAATAATTAAAACTAAGTTTTGGTTTATGATTTCTACTATAGTGTTAAATCTAATGTGCATAACAGTTAATTATGGATGATTTAATATTTACCTTGTGTTGGGTCCGCCTGCCATGTCGTAGGGAATCTGTTGGGATCTCCCGCGTAGAACGGCATTGGTGCCTGTAACAAAGCAAATAAACGGTTTAGTAAATGAGGACTATGTACGATTCTTTAAAAATATTTGAGTAAATAATAAGTAAGCAAGTGTTTCGTAACAAACACTTGTCATCACAGTGCTATCGAGGCCGAGGCTGCGGCAGCCTTGCACATTGTTTGCCGTGTGAAGCGCCCTAATACTCATATGTGTCCGAGGTCGGTCACTCGGACTTTGTTATAATGATGCGTAGTAAAATAACAAATAGAGACATAATAGTTTAAAGATATCTTTATGCTCTACAATGTAGCTAGAGGCTACGGTGTTGTTGCAGTAGGTATCTTTTAGTTCCCATGTAAAATTCTTCGCCTACATAATATATTTTTTGAACTTCACTCGCTTCCCTTCGAGTTAATCTATGCGGGCTTAAGATCGATCGATTTTTGTGAATAGCTCTACATTTACTATTTGGCGTTTATCCATATGTTTTACAGTTTAATTTACTGGAAAACTAGTATAAACGACTTTGATTTTATATTGCAAAATTAGACAGATCTTTGGCATCCTTAGCTAAATTAAGTGTCATTGAAGGGTGGACACCTACTTCATCTAAATGGATTGGGCAACCTTAATGAGGCGTAGAAACCTAAAGTTATACTCTATTATGTAGTCGCTAAGGCAGTATCTTAATGTAACAGCGGTAGGTATATTTTCACGGTTGTTACGGGTTGACGTGTTTGCAAAACTTAAGATTATGTATGCTAAATAACTTATTGTTTCTGGCTCGCCAGGTCTACCAAAACCAAAAGGATTGTAAGAATTAATGCGGTCCATCCTTTCAGTAAGGTACTAGTAATGATAACTGAATTTTTAGATATCGCCTTTATAATTACGTACGATTCATTGATTGTTACCCAAAAATCTACTGCCCGTTTGTGCAGTTCATTAATTAACAAAAACTTCAACAACAGCGCGCTGTTACGAAAAGTTTTTAAACACATAATGAACTTATTTCCGAACTACTTCTTTACAATTCAGAAGCAAAGCACGTTAATTAAAAGGCAACTCGAGTTGTCAAAGGCTCTTAACAGGTAAATAATGTTTTAATATCGCTCCTAAAAAACGAAATATTAATAGGTAAAGTTGAGCAAACGAAAAGCAGGATAAACATATTATTTCAAACAGGATAATCATCATAATACAATATTGAAGGATTTACAGATTAGGCGTCATTACTGTGTGTGTTTAATAAGATTGATCGTCGAAATCGTCGAAGGACTAACGAATTAGTGAGGACTTTATTCTGACAATTTTAATCTCGATGTCCTTATTAAGAAACTAAAAACTGGATTCAAATTCTAGTGTGCGTGGTCGAGTTTGGACCACTCAAATTCATTAAAATATTAAATTTTGTTTCATAAAATGGGCCTAAAAGTCTCCGTTTGACGAAATAGGTAGAGTCTGAAGTCGCTTAACGTGAAAAACGCCTATTCTGTACACGCTGAGCGAAATAATTATACGTTTACACAGCATTATGGCAACTTTGAAAGATTTTAATTTGTACAACACGCTTCAAGTTCTCCCTGTGTTTTATTAACATGGTGTGTAAGTCGTAATTAAAACTTTGTTTTGTCGCTTTAATGAGATCCCGTAAAGAGATTACAGGTTTATTACACAATTACTGGTGTAATTATGATTTTGGCGCGGTAACTGTCATGAATTATGCATGGCTGAACGTTATTGTTGTTAATTATTATATTCACTTGCGAACATTTTTATAAACGAAAACTGGAGTTGTAGGTTCGTCTTTTTGTTCAACAGAAGGTTATAGATATGTACCTATTATGTGATACCTACCTTTTGTAATAACATTAATAATTACTTTCAAATTTCTGATTGCGTAAGTACATACTGAATGTTAAATTTACCTATACCAATGACTAGCGGCCGCCCGCGACTTCGTACGCGTGGTTCCCGTCTTACTCCTTTTAGGGGCTGAATTATGCAAAATCTCGTCTAAGGGAGCACCTACGTTCTAAAAGGAACCCCGATGCAAAATTTGAGACTCCTAGCATTGGAGTTTCTGAGATTTCGTGATGAGTGAGTAAGTCAATCAGTGATCTTTCGCTTTTATAGATATAGTACCTAACAAAATTAAACTGCTTCCCAGGTAACTCTAAAATTCTAAATCAGATTAGTGCAGAATGTGATCGAAGCACACAAATTCGAGCAGAGTGCAGCAAACAGCTGGATTTCAGTTCGGAACTTTGCCGCTGAGCCGCAGTTACGAGTAGAGTGGCCAGTTCTTCGGCTGGAACGGTAGACTAATTTATGACTGGACTTTGACTGCTAACTGTACTTGGACGGTAAGTTGGGACTTGTGCTTGTGTAGGTACTAACAGTAGGTATTTTGTACGTAAAATATGGAAAGCTTGTGAAGGGGAAATTAGTGAAAAAACTTGGGATCGATCAACCTTTAGGCAAAGAATGGGGACTCTTTATCTGACACTTATCCCGGCTATTTCGTTTTAAGTAAGAGGGACGAATACTTAGATTTGAAAATATAGAAATGCCGTTACAAAGCTCTACAGTGGTTTGAATTTGACATCAGCTTTGAGTTTTAGGTTTAGTAGAGTGACACAAGAATAACTATCATTAACCGTCCGACTAACTGAAATATTTAAATAATCGTTTAAAATGTCTAACGCCCGTATTCGCAAACATTACTATGAGGTCTGACAGTGTGCGTAGACGCACAAGGTGACACACGAACCAATCACAGAGCTCTATTCAACGCTCTTTGCTTCACTTAAGCAAGCATCGTTTATGAATACGGGCGTAATTTAATAAGTAGTGGCAACAGTAGGGTAGTAAGCACAAAAGGCGCGGGAGTGTTACCCACAAGCATGGTTACCCTCGCCACATAGTTATAGGATTGTTCTCAGCACCGTAACTCACTCGTTATAGCAAAGTCAATAGTAATTATTTACAACAATCGCACAATGGCTCCCGGAATGTTCGGCAAATGTTTGGAGCTAAAATACTTACGATTTGTTGCGAATGTAAATCAAAATACGGACAATCAGTGTGCCGCGGGGAATAGGCCTTAGGAAGAATTATTTCGGCTCGTTACATACGTGTATACCTTGTATTCTAAAACAATTATAAACATATAGTACAACCATACTATTGTATAATGATGGGTTAAGTGTTTCAGCTATACAGGGTGACAGGGAAACTCGAAGTATAAGTATCTAAGCAAGCTAACCTAACCTAACATTAGTAAGTAGGTAAGTAGTACATTATTCAAGAGGTACTAAGTACATTTAAAAGACGTGCGTGCTTCAATGTTATTTAATTAAGATTGATTAAAATGCTCTAAATATTTGGATGGGTTTAAACATGGTTCGTTGGATTTTTATCCATCTTTAGAGTAAGGAGACAGTAAGCTTAAATTCTAATTTTGATTATCAAACTTACCGTAACTATACGGAACCTTATTATCATAACTATATTTCGACATTAATTGCATCGAATTCATAGATTGCAAGAAACTTTTAATTAGTCTAGGAAGAAGGGGAGCATGCTAGGCATCGGGCCAAAAGGCAGCATAACATTACAATTACTTAGAAGTTTTTCCTATCTCGAGTAGGTAGTTAATAAGAAAAACTTTTGGAATCATAATATTATCTAAGTACTGCATTACTCTTGTTGATATAATTACCGAACTGTATTTTCTTTTGTGTGGGTTTCGGATGAATTAAAAGAAAAAACAATTCCAAAACATCTTTGTAAATAATTGCGCTATTAAATCATAAAAAATTACCCAAATAAGTGGAAACTTTGTGACAAAACACAAGAAACTCAATTAAAATGATCAAAATTGTTGCGGCGGATAGCAGGATAAACGAATTAGAGACTTCTTTGGAGACGGTTTACGTACAGACAAGCACATCAGGCTACATTTTTGGTGCGAAATCGACTCTATTACTAGAAACATAAGAAGCCGTTGTGTTTAGCTTGACTTGCTATCGTCTGTACGAATTGTGGATCGCATTTGCCGGGATGTACGGAAGATTGCTTTTTTATTTTGTTATTGTGTGCCCCATTTGGAGCATTTGTAAATTAATATGGGTAACTTGAGACTGGCCGTACCTATTAACTTAGTAGGGGCCAACTATTTGAAGTCACATAAAGGTTTCATGAAATTACTAAGAAGAGTAAGAAGCCACATAAAGATTTCATGAAATTACTAAGAATAGTAAACGCATCATATTAAGAGGAAAAGTTTTTTAAATTAAACGGTCAACTATTGTTGGAGGCATAAGGTTTCACGAATATTACAAGAACAGTATTTAAGTAGTAGAGAGGGTATGGAAGTAAGTATAGGTTCCAGTGCAAAAAAGTATTGATCTTTTATTACTTAATCTTCAGGACCAGCTCTTAACTAATACAAAATTGCTAATACTACGCTACGAGTATATAATAGCCGCAGCTACGAGTAAGTTTGCACGCTTGTCTACGAAATCACGTACGAGAGGAGAGTCTCTGGTACCTCTCAGAATCTTCTGGTACCTCATGTATTTTGGGTGCCATCGATAAACGAGAGTAGCTTTGCGTTTTCTGCAACAACCCATACGAAGGTAAAGAAGTGCCAATGAAGCCAAAGTTAACTTCTCTAAGAGGGAACTTAAAGGTTTTTTTAATGTTAGTGCCATTAGAATGCAGTAGCAGTTGGAGCTATTGCAGGGCAGTGATTTAGGTTATGATTGTCATTGCTTAAGTTGGTTGACCCTTACCATTGGCTGACTGGAGTGTTCCTGCTTCATATGCGGCGTGGTGGCCGGGGCTGGGCTGGGGGCAGCGGGCGCGGGCGCGGGCCCGGGAGAAGCAGCGGCCGGCACCACGGGACTCAGGCCCGGGACCACGGGAACGCCGGGACTCAGGCCGCCGGGCACTCCCGCTGATCCGCCGAGGGGCTTGCGGCCGCGGTAGCTCTGTTGAAGAGGAGACTGGTGAGATGCATGGACTTAAAGGCATGCTGTGAAGGCAGTGAGGAGTGAAGTATAAGCCGGCATGCAAATGCGGAGATGGGAACAGAGTAGTTTTAGAAATACCAGAACGTTTTGGATATAAAGCTTTGGAATTGATAAGAGACAAGTCAGAGACGCTATAATAGAGGCTGCAACGAAGGGCTTAATAATAAACCAACAATATAAAATTGTGGCCATAATAACAGCGTTCCGCGCATCGTATTAACGGTAATACGCTTCATCTATCTCAATGGCCTCTTCCTTTTTCAAATCCAGGGCTGCGATTGGCCCGTCCACCTACCAGCGTAGAAAGAGCTATTCACGATCGTGTTCCATAATTTGAAATTGGAAATAGAAAATTTTAAATTACTGGTTGTTAGTTATTATTTGTTATTAAAGAATAATGAGCCTTATTTGCAATGATTGGTGTTTTTGTAATATAAATAGTGGTTTATGGTTAATTATATTGTTGCTCTTGGAATAGTGATGTATGGTGCTGCATAGATACAGCCGATTGTTTTACTTGCGCACTTTCCTTGGGAAAACATTCTAGAGAAATGTAGAATGCAACGTGTCGAGTGACAGTCACAATAGCATAGATCCACACATTTTTTCCCGATCAATCATAGTCATAATTGTAACAATAGGTATCTAGTTACATAAAAAGAGCTATTGTTATTCAGTGTCTCCACATTACAATTCAACTTGAGTAATAATTTCTAGTGATAATAGCATCACTTTGCTTAGTCATTAGTCATCCCTGAACACTCTGAACAGTGTGACCTAGAGACGAAACTAATAGATACTAACCAGGTATCTACAACATACAATTTAAATTGCATCATAGCAATACCATCAGTGAGATTGCGATCGTATACCTACTTGTAAAAAACATGGGCAATAGGTAGGTGCAATGTACGGACTGTACGGAGCTTTAAAAAAGCTTTACGAAGAAACACCCAATGTTATTCAATAAATATCTATAATAATGTTCAATAATGCATTTGTATACAGAACTAGTTGGGTGTTATCCTAGTGTATTATAGATTGCCGCTTTAGTGTGCAGTGTCCCGTGAGATCGCTACACACGCCTCGATGCATTTCTACGCTCGTACGCGAGGTGAGTTCGTTTCGCTAACCCTAGTGTTTGTCTGACAAATTTTTTAATTATTAAATTTCATAGTTTTTATGAGAGTGAAGTTCACTTGTGGGGTGAATGGTAAAGTAGGAAGAAACTAATTTTTATAGAGTTGACGTCAGGCAGGTCAGACCAGTTTTTTTTCAATTATGCTGAATTTACTTAGGTATGTACCTAAGCATAGGTTTTGCTTTATTACACAAAATTGGTTTGTCTTATTACTAATTTTTAAGTGACCCATATGAAAACAAAATGCCTGATATGTGTTACCATAGGGGTCACTTAAAAAAAAGAGATTGATGGTGAAAATGGGCATAAGGCTAGTATTTATTATACTGTGACTCAGGTCCAGAGTCGAACATGTAACCTAATGGATGCGCACTGGCGTTTGTGTCACTAGTCTCCTTTTATCTATAGTTTAACCAGACGATAGTTAAACTTTTTAAGTAATGGTTTATTTCAGATAAAAATATTGGTTTAGCAACAGATAGCTATTTTATGATCGTTTTGGAACTCGACACAAAGTATCGGCGAATCGGATGAAACGTATCTCGGATTTAGTTGCAATAACTTTGGCGACAATAAAAATAATAACTGTCATTAAATTAAATGAAACCAGTGTAGCTTTTACAAAAAGTATAACTCTATGACCTGCTTAAATAATGATTTAATTCAGATGGAATCAGTATATTATGCAGTTATAGAGCTTGAGAGGAAATTTAGACTCATTTGATGTTCAAAAAACGTAAGCAAGTAAAAAATCCTCTCCACTGGATATTTTTATTAAATCTAAACTCAAGTGAACATCTTCAGCATCAAAGTGTAAACTAATACTTTAATATATAACACTATACGTTTGTGTATTGAAAAATTATGATTTCAAAGTACCTACTTGTTATGTTTTTTCGTTACTCTTTTTAGTTCAATAACCCAATGCGATCCATCGAGTTTTGGATAATTATAAATACGCCTTCTTACACCTCATTACACTACAATACAATCTATATTAATATAATATTACCTGCGTTTGCAGCTGGGAATCCCACGCTAGAATACACATTCGTGCTTTTACTATTACACAACTTTGTTTAACAATAGCTTCAAATAGGATTATAAAAAGCGTCGTAAACTTCTGCTTTACGCACCGAATATAAAGCTTCCCGGAGCTTTCAAGTATAAAGTTGTGATATTAAAAGGAATATCTGCGTGGTTGAATAGGCACAGATACTGAGAGTAAAAGTATTAAATATCGCAGATGCTTTTTGAGTTATAATATTATTGGATAGAAAAAGTTTGTAAAAAATTGTATTGGTATACGATAAGGGATAATTTTCTTTATGAATCTACTAGTGCTTGACATAGACCTTGAGACCATAGAGATTGGACGAATTATTGGTCCATCATCTTAAACATTCTTTACTTATTCCTATTGGTGGCTAGAACGATTTATGAATTAGGGTCTCTACCCAACTCATTAAAATTAACAATGATAAGGTAACATAGCCCGGCAGATTATCATATATATAATATAGCTACTTGTATTAAAATTGAACTCCCTTTTCTAAGGAAATTGAAATAAGGAAACACAAAGAAACTAAAAAAATTCCATTGTTGTTTATAGCCGCAGAAATAGCCTGTACTGGCAGGCAACAGCGAAAATTCTGCGAGCAACCGTTAAAAACATTCAAAATGTACATTTTTATTTTAAGACGCGTGCACACTCACGACAGCCACACAATAAATGAAAATTCGGCTCGAGCAACAAAGCATTGTGCATTAGCTCTAAACAAAGGGCCTTTGTCGCCGCAACTTGGCCGGCCCTGCAAACTCGGGCTTTGTCCAACTCCTGCAACTGGCTTTATTTGATTGTCTTGCTCCATTTCATTAGGGGTAAACTCATTACTAATATACGATGCCGCTGGCAGGTTCTGGACTCTGGTGTTTGCTCTAAAGATTAAATTACAGCATTCAAAAATTACTGTAAAAGCTGCCTTTTAAAGGCGCTGTCCTGTTTTTATACCAAACATTTTAACGTGAATTTGAAATTGTCTTGCACTTTTCACATTTATGTGTCGCTGCGTGGTGAAAATTGATTATGATGATGATGAAGTTTTTTAAGTTAGTAATATTCAATGTTTTTTTCTGATTCATTATCTCTATCAAGTCTAAAATGATACACTTTTAATAAATGGGTGTCATTAGATATGCATCTTGAGACGTTTTTAATAGTTTTGTAAGTGATTTTATAAAATAGTACCAGTTATTTTAAAGCGTTATGGAAAGTCAGTCATGCTATGTTTCACCGATATAGTTAATCTATCAGGCCAAGGCTTCACCTTTGATCTTTTTGGCGCGGGATCAAAACGCGTAAATCCGCCATTTTGTGACTTACGAATTAATTCGACCGCGTTTACGTTGTGTTCACGTTTTGTTTGTTTTCACAGATGACTTATGGTGCATTATTTCATTGTTGTTTTCAGTTTCTCAGTAAGTTGAGTCAGTTGGCTCATGTTGGCTCATGTTGAGGTATATTATTGTATTAGTTCTTGTGTGAGTCTTCGGTGAGTCATAGATATGTTAAAGTTAAGCGATAAGGAAAGTCCATTTACCTTTCATGTTTATTTAAGCGAATAAAATTTACTTGAACTTAATTAAATAAATTAAATAAATTTTTGATCTTAACTTAATTAGGTTATTAAAGACGCCTTACTATGCTTTTTACAGCTACTACTTTAATGTTTTAATTTTGCATTGGGTTTTGTTTTCAGAGGGAAATTGTTTTAACTTTCAGTCTTTTCATGAAGGATATCACCCCGCACCACTATGCAAACCTATCAATATTAATGTAAGAGGTTGAGTGTGTAATTTAATGTAGCGTAGTGGCACCAATGATCGACACTTTAAGGAGATATTGGGCTTCTTATTAAGATTAAAGGTCATTTAGTCATCTTTAAACCAAAAGTAACGATTGAGCATGATAAGGTATATTCTTGAGATAAGAATAGGATGTATTATTTTTATTAACTATACACGGACTAGAAAAAAATCCCAAAAAATGAAAAAGCATATAAATCTCCAATCATCGACACCGAATCTCCAGTAGTCAACACCCAGTCATCGACAGCTGCCACTTACCGACACCCAGTTATCGACGATCTCCTTTTTTGGCAAGTACTCGACCAGGTTTAGGACGGAAGCTCTGCCAGTCCTGGCTGGTGTACTGCCGGTCGACTTAGAGGTACAGAAGCGTGCGGCTATGTACTTCGCATCAAGGGAAAATATACCTAACCTCCGATTTCTTAAATAGCCGCGATCGTTCTAAAATAAGCCGATTATTTGATTCCCGAGAAGTCGTTGAAGAGGAATTACTTAATGAATGGCAAAAAAGATGGAATACGTCAGTCAAAGGGCGTCACTTATATAATTTCCACTGCAGACCCACGATACCCCTGGCGATACTCCTGGTGGTATCGTGGGTCTCGTTAAAGAACTACACTTCAGACCCACGATACCCCTGGGAGTAAAGTTGACAAACGAGGACCGGCGCGGGCGCGGCGGGCCGGGAGGGGACGCACAGTGCACACGGCCAGTGCACAGTGTTGTGGAATACCTCTTTGAATTCTAAATTGATTTCATTGAACATGCATACCCACGATACCACCAGGGGTATCGCCAGGGGTATCGCCAGGGGTATCGTGGGTCTGCAGTGATAATTTCTTCCCGAATGTACACGAACGTCTAACTAGGCGATGGTTAGAAATCGACCATTGCTCGTCGCAGTTCCTCACGGGGCATGGCAACTTTAAACATAAACTTCACTAATTCA